TGTATTTCAACGCGCATTTCACGATCTGACATAATGGTAGCCTACCTTTTGGGCTTTACAATGGATATGTGCACTTTATTTCATGGTTCTAGGTCGATTTAAGCATTTTGAACGAAGAGCCAACTGAATCGGCTCTTTTACATGAACGGAGCCAAATGAGCCGGCATGGGCATTGAGCCCATCACTACTCGATACCACGCAGATTATGTGATTAGCTCAAACGAGCTGTGCGGCCACATAAAAGTTCAGTTAGACATTCACGCTTGCCCTAGTTTAAATATTTATACTAAGCTAGCTACACATGGAATACATTTGAATGTATCTACTGGCACTGCACCTGTTGTCTCGACCTCTGTACTCGACTATGAAAAGCCAACTCACTTTTACTTCTTGCTGACCTGTTGCACCCACTATAACCACTGTAATCATTTTTTGACCCTACTGGTCATATAGCTATGAACATTTTTCATTTACATTGTAGTCATTTAGCAGACGCTCTTATCCAGAGCGACTTACAGTTAGTGAGTGCATACATTTTCATACTGAACATCTTGAACGATAAAGCCAGATGTCAAAATGTCTTACCGAGCAGTCACGTTAGCAGGCGTGAGTGTTTAGGCTACCATTGTGACTGACAACATAGATAGATAGGTAGCTAGTTGTCAAACCACACACTCACGTTAGCTATCTAACCATTATGTTAATTGTGCTGTAGCTATTACGTAATATACGCTCGCTAGGTGCTAGCTACCTAGACTCATGGCCCGTGCTAGTGGAGCAGCCATTATAATCCAGATTTTAGACCCTCGTAGCCAGATGCGGTAGCACTGTTGATAAACTACCTAATTTAGCAAGCTAAATCAATAGCCAGCTCCCTAGTCTGTTTGCTATTATTTGATAGCTAGCCTAGTTGCTAACGTTAGCGGTTCAACTCACCTCGCAATAGAAACACACTGCTGCAGTGCTGGTGGTATGGAACCGGGACCGCAAGCATTCAAGTGGTGACAGCAGAAAAGTTATGGTCGACATGTTAGTTGCATTTCCATTGGTCTTCAATCAAATCGATACTTTATTGACCGTTGTTAAAGTTAGCCAGCTAGGTAATGACATTCCCTCACACACTGCTCACTCAAACGAATATCAAGCTAGGAAGAATAACAATCCTTCAGAATAAGAGTTCTGACCTGTAGTCTTTAAGTGTAAATTAATAAATAAGGCAAACAATTATGGACAATATCACAATAATCGATATCTTATAATAGTTATCAAAAGTAATTGTTATATATTTGTTTGCATTTATATTTTTAGGCTAAATGATAAAACAGAATTGTGTGTGTACTTCTATCATCTATTTCGAATGCGTGTCAAAATAAAAGTCCTATAGATATCACACATCCCATTCCAGGCCCACGATATCAATAGTTTCTACACCAGGGTTCTTCAATTCCGGTCCTGGAGGGCCGAAACACTTCTGTTTTTTATTTCTAACTGGTAGTTAATTGCACTCACCTGGTGTCCCAGGTCTGAATTAGCCCCTGATTAGAAAGAGAGGATGAAAAACAGAGGTGTTTCGGCCCTCCAGGACCGGAATTGAAGAACCCTACACCAACATCAGTACATAATTAGGGTTGAAAGCAGTTAAAAACCTCTTTAATCCAATACCTTCCGCTCAAACAAAGGTCCTGCAGCTCTAACCAATGATTTACATTTACATTTTAGTCATTTAACAGATGCTCTTATCCAGAGCGACTTCCAGTTAGTGAGTGCATACATTTTCATACTGACCCCCCCCCCCCCCCCCCCCCCCACACCCCCACCCCCACCCGTGGGAAACGAACCCACAACCCTGGTTGCAAGCGCCATGCTCTACCAACTGAGCTCTCACGTTAATGGACAGATGTTTGGGGAAACCCTATTTAGTAAGTGTTCCAACCTGCCCTTGATCTACTTCCATTATTAGGATGATATCTTTGGTGTTTGGCACCACAGTGAAAATACTAAATTCATTCACCTTTTTAACACAAACCAAATACACCATACACTGATTCTATTGATTTCTGGACATTACTGTTTTCCTTTTTTCCACTAGATGGAGACAGAATCTTCTAAACCAAAGTATTTCTAAATCAACAGATACACACTGGGAAAAGTCTGTCCTCTCCTCAACTCCTCCAGAGATACTTTTGAGGAGATGGGAAACTCCAATGGAATCGGATTAACGCCCATTGTTTGCGTTGTTCGTGCGTCGTCAGTGGGTCAATTCAAGGACAAGGAGAGCTCTTCTTCAAGGCATCAATGGGAGTCAATTGGGTGCTAGCTCAAAAACCCAGCAATTGCATGAATTTCGTCAACAAGAAGTACAACATTACAAATATTTTCCGAGATATGAGATAATGAACTTGTTCTCTGTAATACTGTATAGCTTTGGAATCGTGATATTACGTTCTTTCGAGAAAAATAGGTAGGTTTCTCGACTCATAGGTCGTTATCAATAAAACGTCACAATATGGTGCAGAGCTTTGATTTAACCTGTTGGGGGGGGGGGTACTAAGCTAACATATGGAATTGTTTTAAGATGGTCCATTTAGCTATTTGATTTGGAATTGTAGGACCCCTTAGGTATAAAACAAATTATTTAAAAATGGTTTGACAAAATCTAGAATTTGGGGCAAAAATATATATACAGTATATAGAATTTGGACTTTACTACTACAGCCCATAGAAACACATTGAATAACACATTCATAAATGGCAAAACAATTGTCAAAAAATCTATCATAAGGAATAAGGTTTTGAAGTGTCTGTCCTAGAACTAGGAGATACTGTATAAGATAATTCAGGAAATATTTTAGTTTGTATGGGTTGTATGGGTTACTTTCAGACAAGTCCCGTGACACTTGTGGGGGTGGTAGAGCAAAATGGAGAACACCATCATGTTTGTGAGAGTCTCCCCTTTCCATAGAGTGTAGGCCAAACCGTTCGGAAGCCACAGATGTGTTCGTGAGAAGACCGATTTTCGGGATGTCTCATGGTCTGACAAACACTGCTGTAGCTCTGCCACCTTCCACCGTAGATGCTGAAGGCCTATGGGTGGATGCAGTGATATCTGTAGTTTAAACTGACAGATTTTGATGGGGATGTTTTTATTCTGTTACTTAGATTGACGCCAGTTGTGCCTGACACCAAAGATCTCATCCCCCTGATTACTACCCTTTCCAGTAAAATCATTATTTTAATTCCTTGATTAACTGATTCCAACAGGGCACAAAATATTTTTGCCCCTCTCCAGGATTTTAAGATAATTTCATTTTATCTGGTGGAGAAATTATAATCTGAATAATCTCCCGGCTAGAACCATAGATAGGTTTATCATTGGTTAGACTTCAGTCTGGTCCACTTGCAGTTCCTCCTCTGACAGATTAATATTTCTCTAAGACAAAATGGTCCCACTTTAAACAAAATACAACTTATAAAGGTTTTATATAGCATACATAAAGGCTTCATAAGCACTACATAAAGGCTTAACAAATAATGTATAAGCATATGTCATACTCTATAAATGGTGTATAAACATACATAGTGCATTATGGCACAATTGGCAAATAACCCTACAGTAGGAATGGCTTTGTCACCCTTAATACACAATCAATAGAGTATGACATACAGTTATAGATTATTTGTGAAGCATTTATGTAGTGTTTATGAAGCTTTATCTATGCTGTACTTTGTACTTTTGAGACTGACAAAATTATCTCAAATGGTGGATTTGGCGCCCCCATCTGTCAAAAATAACAGTTACCACAAAATGTCATTTCAATAGTTTCATGCAAAGTGTTCCAGAAGTAGTACATTGGGGAAACCAGAAATGCCCTCCAGGCTCATCTTCAACAGCACATTAGATCCATTACCAAGAATGACAAAGGCACATTACTAATTCAACATTTTCAAGAACACGCATTAGAAAACATAAAGGGATAGTTCACCAAAGGGATAGGGTTGTGGTTAAAGGGATAGGGTTGTGGTTGAGGCTAGGGTTAGGGTTGAACTGGGATGTGGACACAAAGCTAGGGTTAGGGTTGAACTGGGATGTGGACACAAAGCTAGGGTTAGGGTTGAACTGGGATGTGGACACAAAGCTAGGGTTAGGGTTGAACTGGGATGTGTATATGAATCTAGGGTTAGGGTTGTGGTTGAGGCTAGGTTTGGTTTGAACTGGGATGTTGCCATGAAGGTAGGAAGCTAAGGAAAACCTCTGGGTTGATTATGAAGACTTTAATGTCATAAAATCCCATACTATCATCTCTTGGCTAAATTAGAGAGGTTTCTTCGGAGACAATGGCATCTGGTTTATGTTGTGCAATAGGAGCTAATGGAACTTAATTATGTAACGTATAATACCTTCGTCTGTCCTGTCTTATGTTCTTAAGTAAAGGATGTGAGCTAGTTTGTATTAAAGCGCCCTACGTCAATCTCATAGATCTGTCTGCACTGGGTTCTGACAACTAAAACATTGTAATACACATACCTGCTGGTAGTAGACGGTTATTATGTCACTGTTATGTCATATCATTGTTATCTGGTTCATCTGATAATAGCTTTGGTCACATGGGTGGCTGGCCCTTATCTCCAGTGCTGAATCGCCACTCCTTATCCAGATCCATTTATAGGGCTTCTGAGCAGAAACAGCATCAGTACTGATACAGGTTCAGTTTCTGGACATTATCCTCCTCTTAGATAAGCTCTGCCCAGGGGATTTGACCCCTGTGGCAGTCCGTTTCCTCCTCTGGTTTTTAATCAGAGCAGTAATCTGCTGATGTTGCTCTGGAGGCCAGGCCTGTATGCCACATCATTCTCCTTGTGACCTGGATCCAAGCCTTTTAAACCCCACAGCAATTTGTCTCTGGCCAAAGACCGGAGTCTAATGCAAAACCGCGCACTTGCTAAAATTCAGTACTTCAAAGTTTTTCATCTGTGCTCTCTATTTCAATATTATTTCAATATCACCAAACCCACAGGAAGGTGATGTGTTTGTGGCCGAGGTCCGGCTTCTCCAGGCTGGAGGCCAAACCCACAAGCAAAACGTATGTTACCAAACGCAAGTTTTCATCTAAAAGGGGAGAACAGCGACTCAATTCTGTGCATTTTCATTTTGACACATCATGGCAGCCCTAGATAGATTGAAACCAGCTTTAATCTGTGTGTGAGCTGGAATAGTGGTGATTAATTGGTGAATAATCTGATGTTGACTAAAGCAGATGTTGATCATCGAAGGGAGATTTTAGCTCTAGTGCAGTGCATGGAATAGGGCAAGTGGAGACCCCTATACTCAAATCTGGCAAAGATTTAAGCCAGGTACTGTACATCACAAGGCAGAGTCCCCCCAAAAATAATACTTTATTACCATCTATATACAATAAATTCCCTATCAAACATATCCATGTGTTAGAGTATAATCATCATCATTCATGAGACAAAAATAACTGCTGTACTTGGAGGATAGGCCTACATTTGAAACATGACACCTATGTTTTCTACACAGTGTGCAGAAATGGAATAGACATTGAAGAGAAAATGTTGAACAGAAAAAGACAAACACTGTACTGGAGTTAATAAATAAATTAACAGGACAAATTGTAAGCAGTCAAATACTTCAGGTAGGTCTTAAATGATACACCGAAACATAATGATGACAAAGTTGCATGCTGCACAGAAAACAAATGATGCCCATTCCTCCAGTTCCACAAGTCACAGACTTCTAGATACATCATACAAAACTGCTCATACTCTAAAATATTGTTACTTAGACACTTGGAACCAGATTGGGCCATGCATTATGACCATGATGAAATAACAGAGCGAATGAGTGCCTCCAACAAGTTCAACTGAATGTTAAGGAGTGTCTGAGCCTGAGGTGTGTTATGAAACCTCACAGTCAGTTTGCTGCAGAAGGGAAATGGCCCCATTCTTTTTTTTCTTCAAACATAAAATGACCAGGGAGCATGGTGTGAAATATGATCCTAGATCAAACTGATTATACGCTCACTCAGTGTCCCTCCCTCATGACAGTCACCTTTCCTGGGTCTGCGACTCATCATCCCAGCTCTTGCCGCCATGTTGGTTCTTCTTGCGGGTGCGCTCGGCCATGACCACAGCTGCCAACACAGTCACCAGCACCGTCACAGTGATAACCAGCACGGTGGCCGTCTCTGCCATGCACAACTGGCTGTCCACCCACGCCAGCGAGGCGCCCGCCAGCTGCAGAGGCTCGCGGCACGTCACGTTGTGGTAGTCGTCAACGTGCAGGTGGCGCACACTCAGCAGCTTGCTGAAGACCCGGTGCAGGTCGCAGTCGCAGTTCCACGGGTTGCCAGCCAGCTGCAGGTGGGTGCCGGCCGTGTGGAGGCTCAGGAAGGTCTTGAACTTAAGGTGCTGCAGCTGGTTTCCCTCCAGGCCCAGCAGAGTGTGCAGGGGAGCCAGAGCCTCCGTGTCGATGTGAGAGATGTTGTTCTGGCCCAGCTGCAGGGCCTCCAGGACCGGCAGCATGGACAGGGAGCCATGGCGCACAGCTCCCAGCTGGTTGGCATGGAGGTAGAGGTGGCGCAAGCGAGACAGGCCCCGGAAGACCCCTGGCTGCAGGAAGGTGATGTGGTTGTGGCTGAGGTCCAGCTTCTCTAGGCTCTCTCCCGGACCGAGGACAGACTGTGGGAGAAGTCCGACGGCAGCCGGCGCAGCTCGTTACGGCTCATGTCCAGCTTCTCCAGAAAGGAGAGGGAGTAGAAGGCCTGGGCGAGGAGGAGGGTACAAAAAATTATGAATATGAAAAATATGACAATCGGCATCAAACCCTCATATCAACAATCAAATCCTTATGCTAAACTATGCCACTAATGTTAATTAATGCATAGGCTATTGAGTGTTTCTCAATCCATTACTAGTGCTGGGCTAGAACAAAAATGTACACAGTAGGCCCCCCACGAGTATATTGTACGACATTATATGGGTTTAGCAGGTGTTACCTCGGGCTGCAGCAGCTGGATTCCACTGTCAGAGAGCACCAGGACCCGCAGTGACCAAAGTCCGGCAAAGGCACGGCTCCGCACTTCCATCAGCAAGTTGCCACCCAGGTCCAGCAGCCAGGTGCCATGGGACAGGCCATCGGGCACGTGGAGGAACCCGCGCGCTCGGCAGTCCACCAGATCCGAGTGTTCGTAGCAGAGGCAGTGGTGAGGGCACTCTTTTGAACCTTCCACTGAAGACAGAGCCAGCAGCAGCAGAGCAGGAAAGAACATATTACTTGCAAAAATGTGCATCTAAAGTGCTTTATCACGACAAGGCTTGAGGACGTTTGGAGTGGAGTTTCAGCATCCGGATATCTGAGGAATATCTGCAAAATAATGCAAACAACCATTAGACTAGTGGTTTGGAGATACAGTATCAAAAGCTGTCGCTGAGTGGTGAGTATTAGGTAGGATAGAGGAAAATGTACATTTAATAGCTCTGTAAGCTGTAGGCTTTTAATAGCTTGAACTAGTCGACAGCTCTAAAAGACTAGATGGAAAACACTCCGAATCCGTTACTGTACATAATACAAGCAGCGAGTCAGTTGCGCGTAATGGGAATGTTTTACGCATAGCCTACTTTGGCGGTTTTAAGTTATACGACGTTGGTAATTGCAGACACACAAAATTACGTTTTTTAATAAATTATAATGTAAATATAAAGGTTACGTTTTTAAACCGACACAACAGCAAGCCTATTCAACGAACGGTAACAGAAACGGTAAATAACTCGTAAATAAAACAATACTTTACCTACAATCTTTATATCCAATCTCCAATGAGAAGCGCTGGTGCCGCATCAGTAAACCAACGCCGCATCAGTAAACTAACTCTTGCGTCCTCATCTCGCTCATCTCTCCCTGTCACGCTCCCTCCCGCTTTTTCTGTCGAGAACTAATCCACAAATCATCCGCCCTACAGATGTTCCCATCTAATAAGAGTTTTTGTTTTAGTATTCCTACCTAGACCCCCTCCCTTTTATTTCACCTCAATTTATCCATCGCTGATCCCCCTATTATCCATAGTAGAATAAACATCCCAGTTACCCATTGAAGACCCCTCGTTTTTCTACTATGAAAAACTGACAATAGAACATCTGCCCTGCAATCCCCCATACTTAATAATCCCCCCTTTCCGCCGTTTTAATCACATTTACGCAGAGTTTACATGGTGCATCCATCACATTGTGTCCAATAGGCATATACAGTGCATTCGGAAAGTATTCAGACCCCTTGATTACAGCCTTTTCTAAAATGGATTAAATAAATAAAAATCCTCATCAATCTACACACAATACCCCATAATGACAAAGCAAAAACAGGTTTTTAGACATTCTTGCAAATTTATTAAAAATAAAAACAGAAATATCTTATTTACATAAGTATTGATATATGTATTGAGGGGAGGATGGATGGGGCCATGTATCGCGAGATCTTGGCCAACAACCTCCTTCCCTCAGTAAGAGCATTGAAGATGGGTCGTGGCTGGGTCTTCCAGCATGACAACGACCCGAAACACACAGCCAGGGCAACTAAGGAGTGGCTCCGTAAGAAGCATCTCAAGGTCCTGGAGTGGCCTAGCCAGTCTCCAGACCTGAACCCAATAGAAAATCTTTGGACGGAGCTGAAAGTCCGTATTGCCCAGCGACAGCCCCGAAACCTGAAGGATCTGGAGAAGGTCTGTATGGAGGAGTGGGCCAAAATCCCTGCTGCAGTGTGTGCACACCTGGTCAAGACCTACAGGAAACGTATGATCTCTGTAATTGCAAACAAAGGTTTCTGTACCAAATATTAAGTTCTGCTTTTCTGATGTATCAAATACTTATGTCATGTGGTCCTCTGTAGCTCAGCTGGTAGAGCACGGCGCTTGTAACGCCAAGGTAGTGGGTTCGATCCCCGGGACCACCCATACACAAAAAAATGTATGCACGCATGACTGTAAGTCGCTTTGGATAAAAGCGTCTGCTAAATGGCATATTATATATTATATTATTATATTATTATATTATATTATATGCAAATTAATTACTTAAAAATGTGATTTTCTGGATTTTTGTTTTAGATTCCATCTCTCACAGTTGAAGTGTACCTATGACAAAATTACAGACCTCTGCATGCTTTGTAAGTAGGAAAACCTGCAAAATCGGCAGTGTATCAAATACTTGTTCTCCCCACTGTGTGTATATATATATACAGTGAGGGAAAAAAGTATTTGATCTCCTGCTGATTTTGGACATTTGCCCACTGACAAAGAAATGATCAGTCTATAATTTTAATGGTAGGTTTATTTGAACAGTGAGAGACAGAATAACAACAAATAAATCCAGAAAAACGCATGTCAAAAATGTTATAAATTGATTTGCATTTTAATGAGGGAAATAAGTATTTGACCCCTCTGCAAAACATGACTTAGTACTTGGTGGCAAAACCCTTGTTGGCAATCACAGAGGTCAGACGTTTCTTGTAGTTGGCCACCAGGTTTGCACACATCTCAGGAGAGATTTTGTCCCACTCCTCTTTTCAGATCTTCTCCAAGTCATTAAGGTTTCGAGGTTGACATTTGGCAACTCGAACCTTCAGCTCCCTCCACATATTTTCTATGGGATTAAGGTCTGGAGACTGGCTAGGCCACTCCAGGACCTTAATGTGCTTCTTCTTGAGCCACTCCTTTGTTGCCTTGGCCGTGTGTTTTGGGTCGTTGTCATGCTGGAATACCCATCCACGACCCATTTTCAATGCCCTGGATGAGGGAAGGAGGTTCTCACCCAAGATTTGACGGTACATGGCCCCGTCCATCGTCCCTTTGATGCAGTGAAGTTGTCCTGTCCCCTTAGCAGAAAAACACCCCCAAAGCATAATGTTTCCACCTCCATGTTTGACGGTGGGGATGGTGTTCTTGGGGTCATAGGCAGCATTCTTCCTCCTCCAAACACGGCGAGTTGAGTTGATGCCAAAGAGCTCCATTTTGATCTCATCTGACCCCAACACTTTCACCCAGTTCTCCTCGGAATCATTCAGATGTTCATTGGCAAACTTCAGACGGGCATGTATATGTGCTTTCTTGAGCAGGGGGACCTTGCGGGCGCTGCAGGATTTCAGTCCTTCACGGCGTAGTGTGTTACCAATTGTTTTCTTGGTGACTATGGTCCCAGCTGCCTTGAGATCATTGACAAGATCCTCCCGTGTAGTTCTGGGCTGATTCCTCACCATTCTCATGATCATTGCAACTCCACAAGGTGAGATCTTGCATGGAGCCCCAGGCCGAGGGAGATTGACAGGTCTTTTGTGTTTCTTCCATTTGCGAATAATCAAGCCAACTGTTGTCACCTTATCACCAAGCTGCTTGGCGATGGTCTTGTAGCCCATTCCAGCCTTGTGTAGGTCTAGAATCTTGTCCCTGACATCCTTGGAGAGCTCTTTGGTCTTGGCCATGGTGGAGAGTTTGGAATCTGATTGATTGATTGCTTTTGTGGACAGGTGTCTTTTATACAGGTAACAAGCTGAGATTAGGAGCACTCCCTTTAAGAGTGTGCTTCTTATCTCAGCTCGTTACCTGTATAAAAGACACCTGGGAGCCAGAAATCTTTCTGATTGAGAGGGGGTCAAATACTTATTTCCCTCATTAAAATGCAAATCAATTTATAAAAATGTTTACATGCGTTTTTCTGGATTTCTTTGTTGTTATTCTGTCTCTCACTGTTCAAATAAACCTACCATTAAAATTATAGACTGATCATTTCTTTGTCAGTGGGCAAACGTACAAAATCAGCAGGGGATCAAATACTTTTTTCCCTCACTGTATATATATATATATATATTCACACACATTTGCAAACATTTCTAAACCTGTTATTACTTTGTCATTATGGGGCATTGTGTGTAGATTGATGAGGGGGAAAAACAATTTAATCAATTTTAGAATAAGGCTATAACGTAACAAAATGTGGAAAAAGTCAAGGGGTCTGAATACTTTCCGAATGCACTGTATAGGCTACCAATATTCCATATAACTCCTTGAATTCGTTATTGAGTGTATCTCCCTTGTATTTTTGATTATGTGGAATAGCCCACAAATGCCCCTAGAAGCCCTCACAATTTCCCATGACAGGTAGGCAGGCCTATTCTATTCAACTCTAATAAAGTGAGTGAATAGGGAACATACAGTATTTCAACGCCCTTTGTGGCATTTCACCGAATTGATTTTTAGATGAAATTTCATTATGTACAATTCTAACAATGTGCCATGGTTCTTTGTTATGTGGATACTTTCTAATTTTTATTGAAGGCAATACCTTAGAGCTTGGATACGGTTTGATATGACCTATTGAATGGACATGGTCATTGCTTGTATACCACATCCATTCATCTCATGTCCCACCTTCATTTACATTTCTATTATGCCCTCTGCTGACAATTTGAAGGTATAGCAATGAACAAAAATGGTTTGGATACAACTGCAATTCATCCATCCCAGATGATCCAGCCCAATAAAGCCTGGTTATAAAATGTTTAAATAATGAGTTTAACAATACAATTAGGAGTTGAAGATTAATTCCTTTTCCCCAAGAAAGGAATATTGTGATTTGAGTGTGAACGAAAGACTGACTGCTACATCAACTACTAGACAAAACAGACCTGAAAACCACCAAAAAGACATTAAAAAAAAAAAGAAACATGACAAACTGCAAACTTCTTTTCTAAATATTTTTTATTTCCATGTTACTAGCTATTTAAAAATAAAAAATAAAATACTGGGAAGGAAACCTTGGCAACGGCAACCTCGTTGACACACGGTGGACGGGTAAACAACGTGGATGCCGGTCACAACTTAACCCCACTGGCCGAGCCTCCAATCAGGCTACATTGTTATAAACACAAGGCTGGGATAGGGGCCTTTGGCCCATCTGGGAACCCTGCTCCCCATCCCAGTCTCAAGGCCTTTGGCCCATCTGGGAACCCTGCTCCCCATCCCAGTCTCAAACATGGCAAGATATCTTTAAGTTCATTTTTTCCAAAAGTGAATACAAAGCATCCCATACAGAATTGAGATCGATCTCATTGCACACGGTTCAGTGGCACGCCATATGATATTGGCCAACGTAGTTAATTAATTTGTTTTTTCTTGTTCGAACATGGGAGGAATGCATTGAGTCGGGCGGAAGAGCAGATTTCACCTGCCAAAGTGTGGCAATGGTCGGTAGACAATAGGAGTGGGAGATGGAGAATGTAAGAAAAGAGCTGGATTTCAATGTGGTCCCATCGTGGAAGAGGTACTGTATTGTAGAATCAAAGACCATGAGGGACAAGGATGAAAGAGAAAGCCCAGCCTCTACTCTAAAATAACACATGCTCTTTATCTTTAGTTTGCCAGACTTCAAACTATACACAAAAAAACAGAGCAAATTTAGTTCAGGTGTGACCATGCACCAAGAGCTTATGGGAAAAGTGGACAGTAATGTCTGATTGCAAAAAAGGAAAGCATTTCATAAAAACTGTTCAAGCTTCTAGAACCAAATGGGTGTTAACAACTTGTATTTTCTATGAAAGGACAATTTGGGGGAGGTATTTCAAGTCTATTTTATGTCAGATTAATAATGTTAACACAATTTGAGTGTTTCCCCGTTGATGGAAAACAGCCATTTCAATAACCTACTGGGTGCATGTTTGTAAGATTGTGAGAGTTCCCATTCATCCCATTCACACGCATCACTATTGGCATCCTTTCAGTCAGCTGTTAAAAAAATAACCATACGCTTTCAAGAAAGCTATTAAAATTAGTGTTCTTGTTAAAACAGTATTTCAATATTAGAAAAGGTCCTTTATCTCTTACCATACATTTCTACTCTTGAAATTTACAAAAAAATGAATAGAAAATAAATCGACCAATGAAAAGGTAGAAATCAAGTGACTTTTCTCTGTGAAATGGAAGTGAGGAGCAGGCGATGGCAGGAGGAGAGAAGAAACAGAAGGAAAGGTAAGAGGTCAAGAAGAAGAGTGTGGGTGGGGAATGGTGGCAAATTGACATTACTTTTATGTTAGATTATCTTAAAAAATGAGCTGGATATTTCCATCTCGGTTGGGACCCCCTTTTGTCCTGTTCAAAATGTTGGACACCTCTGATGGAGGTGGGGGGGGGGACGCTGGCCTTGGTCTGATGTTGAAGGGAGGGGAAGAGAAAATAACAAACCAAACTTCCTTTTCCATTGTGACCTTCCCGCAACCAATTCCTCCTCCCACACCCCCCCTATCTGGACTGAACCTCCGGCTCAAGATGATAAAGTGGAGTCTTTCTGTGTTTGCTGTGCTTGTGGCCGCTGCACCGACTTCTGGCTCTCCACGTCTCTAAAATGTTTCTCCACCTGCAGGGGACAAGATGGGACAACTTTCTGGTAGTGGCATTCCTGTATTCTCTTCAATGGTGAATGAAGGGTGGGAGTTGTGGTGGTGGGAAGGCATACTCACTATTTTGCGTACGTGACTTAAAGCGCTACCCTCTTTGCCTTTGCAGTTCTCCACCTGGTAAGGTGGGGCGATGACCACGTCATCCATCACCATGATGTTCTTCTCCTGCCATTTGCAGTCTTTGATGCTACAGAGAGATTGAGAATGTTTTGAAAAAAAGCACACTGTAGCCGCCTTTGGTCACGGTACTGAGGGTAAAGGTTTCAGGGCACACATTTAGACAGATGCCTCCATGCAGCAGATGGTGCATATCGAACAGCAACAACGCTGAAGAAAATATACAAACAAATTAAACAATAACATTACAGAATTAACAGCTTACATTAGAAATTGGTCGATCAGTGTTGGTACTGTAAGACTTACGATCATAGGTCACACACTGTAGTCTAGGCCAAATCAGGGATCAACACTACAATCGCATTACAACCAAGAGTTATAATGGAATGCATACTATTTGATTGGGTTTAAAACAAAACATTACTGAATCAAAGACTGGCGTTCAAACTGGTCAATTAATCAGTGAAAGCAACTTCAACGTCCAACAAGACTATTTAAATGCATTGGGTAGCTCATTTTCTTTAAAACAGCCTTTCCTGGCCGTTGGGGACCGTCATAGCAAGTAAATAACTGATGTTTCTATAGTTGGATGCAGCAGAGCCCCAGTATTAGAGACGATACTCACGTTTTATGTATAGTCTGGAATAGCTGTTGGCCCTCCACAGAGACTCCAGCACTAATTGCATATGCTTGGGATAACTTGTCTTCCTTTTCCGACCGTGCTCTGTTGGCAAGCTGCAGGCGTGTTGGAAAAGGAGAACCAATACATTAGAGCTGTTTACAATAGCCAACATTCTCAATTGAAAACCCCAAATTCCCTTGGAAGTTAAAGTATGTAAAAAGAATAGTTGTATTTGGCATTGAAAGGAACTTTAAGGAATTTCCACCCATTAGCAATACAAAATAAATATTAGAAACCGCTCACTGATCATTTTAGTTAAATGTGGAAAAGGTGGGTTTTGTTTGATGCCGACCAAAGTTTAATGATATGGTGATGGAACTTTTCAGGATTTTTTGAGCAAGACAATGGCCATTCATTCTTTAAATATGCAAACAATCCATTCAGGTTAAACATACGGTTCCAATCAACATGTGAAAGCACACAAAATTATACAACTCATTTACTTTCTTTGTGTTGGGACAGGGATTCCCAATTCCAGTCCTGAAAACCAATCGGGTGTGCAGGTTTTTGTTCCAGCCCAGCATTACCACACCGGATTCAACGAGGATAATAAGCTTGCCTAATGATGGTCTTTAGTCTGACTCTGAACCACAATTAGCTGAATCAAGTGAGTTAGTGCAGGAGTTATTGATAAAGCTAATGACAAAATGACCAGATATCCAATGATTCTTCACTACTTGGTATGAGAAGGAGATGTGTCAAGGAGGGTGTGAGGAGTGGTGATTGGCTGGTCTTACCTTGCTGACATTCAGAGATGCTAGTGGAGGAGGCGTTTCAGTGCGGTCATTAATGATGTCCACCTCAGACACGTAGGCTAGGTTAATCAGAACCATATCACTGACGTTTGCCTTTCCACTGGAGGGGGCGCATTCTGAAAGGGCAGTGGGTCAAGGCAAATAGGCTGTACTACACATCCAGAATGGAGGTCAAATTAGCAGCTGTTAGCATTAGACTGTAAATATACATGCAGGACTTGAATGTGAGGGAGAGACAATGGATCAGCTGGAATCATAATTCTATCACATCTTCCACAAACATTAGGCTATGCCAAACCTGAGGTAAATCACCAACATTTTTATGTTATTGAACTAGTCACAATAGTGTAATTTAGTCACTCAGTAGTGAACCACTGACCAAATAGGCCTAATAAGTGAGCATATCTTATGCTAATCTAGTAGAACACAAAATCAAAGCACAGCACCAGTCCAACTTCAAGTGCTGGAGATCCCCTGATGGAACAACTTCCTCTTTCCCCCGCTCTATTCTGCCATTAAGTTCAACAGCAGTCTAACAGCCTCCTCACAACAGAACATCATGGGATCATGCTTCCCTGTAACCTAGGAAACAGGTCCAGGGTTCACCATGGCAGTCCAGGAACAGCCTCTTGCCCAAGAAACAATGCAGACGGTTACATCCCAGAACAGAAGTCCTAAACATAGACTAAGCTAAGGACTTACCAGTCAAACAACAAACCACCAGCAACTAAACAAAATGAATAGCCCACTCAGAACTTCTCAAAGGGGATGTTAAGAAGTAAGCATTTCACGGTTAGTCTACACCTGTTGTTTACGAAGCATGTGACAAATACAATATTTGAATTGAAGATGCCATGAGGTGTATGCATTCCACCAGCAGATCCCCTTTCAACTCTGCTAACAAAGAGTCCAATGCATCGTTTGTAAGGGAGGGTCTGGGTACGAACGAGCCACAATTCATCATGTGGATATCAGAAATACTGTGGAGGGAAAGAGGGCAAAATAGCCTACTAGGCAGAAAACAAAAAAATTGGCATACTAAGCACAACTGCCAAGAGTAGCCTTCACGAACACCCAACTGTGTTAAAGAAAGCTCAAAGGATATTATCTAGTAGCAGCCTGCTCACTGCCCTTGAGACACGGTTTATAGTCTGGTGACAGACAAACAAAATTCATAGACTCAGTCTGACCTCACGCATCAACCGAAGGCAGCACAGAACTTGCCCTTCAACTGATTTTCAGAAAAGACCCTCAAACCTGAGCCAAGCTAATTATTTTCCTAATAAAAACAGGTTGGATGAGTAAAAGGCCTGTGTCTTTACTATGTTCAGACAAGTTTTCCTATTACAAGGCAGACAGAGGTAAAGTGCTCAGAGCTGAACTCATTCAGGTTTACAATCCTTCATTTTATGGCTGCTGCACTTCCTCCATAACTGTAATAGAGGGCTGTGGATTTCCTGTCTGATATCTTGCCCTTTCAGTGACTCCTCACCAGCCTCACAAGGGAAACAACGTAACATGCCATGAGGGTATGACAGACTGGATCTAGAAGCTTTATTTACCCCCTGCACTATACTATGTTATCGTGTCACCCTGAAAACATGTCACACTGTGTGCTTCCATAAGCAAACTACCTCAAGTGAATAGGCCTACATGATACACATCATGAAGAGTGACTTGTCCCTTGTGACCTGGGCCCTAGCATTGGGAAAATACCCTCTTTGTATCTCACTACAACATCCACAAAAAAAGTAGACTAGATTTAACAACCGTAACATTGTAAATCTGTTCTTCAAAAGAAAAACGTGGCCTACTCTTCAACTACATTGATAAGATGCCTCTAAATTCACAAGATCAAATGAGCAAAGTCAGAATTCTGAGGCAGTACTACCTTCCAGCCAGGTAATAGAGACCTGTTTGACATCCACCGGGGCGTGATGGTATGGAATGCACACTGTTGAAATCCACAATGCTGTTGCAGTGTGATAACTGCTGACTGACAGACACAAATGTCACATTCCTTCCCCTGGCCGTGGCTGCAGTAGTTCCACTATCACAGGGTGGTCTGACTCTGGGCCTTTCAGTCCTATACCAGGCAGAGGTGGAAGATTGACCCGCACAACCAGGCAAACAAAATTATTAGTCCTCTGCAATGCATGTCTGTGGGAGCAAATAGTCCAAATCAAATGGCTTCCTCAGAGTTCTGCAGCATATAAAATCTTGCACTTTTCATGACTGCCTATTTTTCTGAGCGGTGCCCTGTGCAGGACTGGAAGGCAATTTATCTGGGCTAAAAGCACAAGTTAGTGTGCAAGAGGTGTGTATAATACCTCATCTTCACCCAACCTAGATTGTATATGGTCTTATTGCCTTCTCCAAATGTTGCCTGCAATGAATCCACCAGGCTTTCTCCCATCGACATCCCTCATGTAATGAAATCCAAGTCCGCACATTCACATAAACAGATTTCACAGTAACTAGCTAACGTTAGCCATCTTCCAATAAAGCTACAGCTAAGAACTTGCATATAGCTAACGTTGTCTTTCTCAAGTCAGCTACAAAACACTTGACAGGGGTCAAAGTAGCTAGGTAGGCAGTTACTAGCTCACTACTAGCTAACGTTAGCTAGTTAGCTTGCTAAATTACCCAAGAACTTGACAGGCACACCTTTCTAAACTGTCACCGGTGAATCATGGCGTGTCAGTTTCGACAACGTGAGCTAACTAGGGGTGGGTAGCTAGCTACATCACTCCATGGCTAGCCATCAATAATGTTCTTTAAATAACCATTGTTTTAGAGCATCAGACAATTCTAAGCCTGGTCTGCTAGTTAGCTCTTTCTAGCTACATGCTAACTGTTACTAAGAATGTGTCAGGCATAACGCCCCTTGGAGCTGCCAGATAGTGATCCATACAAGGACTGACAGTTTGTGCTAACGCTGACCACAATAGCTTGTGTTAGCAAGTTAGCTAGCATCATGGCACAATACCATGCCAATTTCGATAGCCAGCTAGCTAGCTAGCTAACAACAAACATTAACTCAAGATCATGCCGATTCTAAACTTACCATACCTGTCTTGAAATAGAAAGTAGTAACAAGGTTTAAAGTAACTGAACAGTATTTAAACCGTGTGGTTAGCTACGTTTTGATCAAGAGTAAGCAAATAATCTAGTTAGCTAGTCTCCTGACTACGCTTGCGCGGATCTCAATTTGGCAAGAGCGACCAGTTACCCCCAGGCCCCTTGCAGCCTTGAAGACCACCGATTCAGTGACAACAGAAAATGGTAAAAAGGATACTCAAAGTCAACATCTTGGACTGATAGTCAAAGGCAACGACCTCTCCCTGCAATTGCTGCCCCAAACAGGTGAGGCAGGAGACATGGCTCCCGACACTGAAATACTCCCCCGGTCCAGGAGCCGCCATCTTCTCCGCCAGGAAACCGGAGCGCCAGATTTACGTAAATATACGCCGTGGCGTCACTGACTTTCGATAGGAAATGTTGATGGGCATGTCATGGACTGATCACACTTCCCTGGGCGGTCCGATTCTCCACCTCATGACTGATTGATAGAGTTCAACCGATCCGGACCTGTATTGTCCTAATCTTTTTTTTATCCAGTTCTACAATTTTCCCCCTATCCCTAATACATTTAACTTCATTAGAAGTCCTTCTCGCCACAATAATTCATAAGCGTTTTCCATGTCAAAGAGGGAAATGTCCGACTTGCCTGGACACAGCCCTTAGCCGTGGTATATTGGTCATATATCACAAACCCCCGAGGAGCCTTATTGCTATTATAAACTGGTCACCAACGTAATTAGAGCAGTAAAACTAAATGTTTTGTCATACCCGTGCTATACATCAGCCAATCAGAATTCCGGCCTCAAACCACCCAGTTTATAAACCATAGCAATGTATATGTGGAGTGGACAGTCCTAAAGATATGCTTTTGACTTGCTTGTTACAAGCTAGAAGACTCATTTCATGATGCCAGTATAGAAATAATCTGACTGGTCTGATTCTGACCAGGGCCCGATTACTGACCGGGCACGCGCCCTGGGGACCCCCCTGGAGGTCAGGGCCCCTCCATATAGCATATGAACATGTCATAAGCCATGGCAAAATGTGTAGAATTGCAGGAAATTCATTTTAAAACTGCAACCAGAGAAAAATAAAATAATACTTTAAAATCAACACTCAACCACTTTACTATTCAAAGCCATGTCTGTTATCCCACAACCAACACTGTAAAATATGAAATATTTTTACTCCTCTTTGTATTGGAGCAGTGAATCGCTTTATTGAGTTTCAGACAATTAAAACAGGCCCACTTTTTTTAAAAAAAGAAAAAAAAGATACTCAAATAGGATGTCACAACATTACAATGAGTAATAAAAAAGGGCTTTTTTTTTTAATTTACACAAAACCTGAAATAAAACAGTAATCAGACTCAACATTCCCTTTAAGATCCTTGCTAACCCACAAGGTGGCGCTGTGCACAATGCAACTCATGAAAAAAAGGGATAATTCAAAGGGACAGCGATTTTCATCAATAATTGTCACAGTAATAGATTGCTAAAATAGCGTGTATTGCACATGTGTACACATATATGCACTTATACACGTGAGTAGCAATTAGTATAAACACATTTGTATTGTCGCAACAGGAAAGCATTTGAAAGAACACATGAAATTAAGGAATGTGCTTTGATAAATTCAAAACGTCTGCATTAGTTATGACCAGAATATATTTAAAATATAAGGTAAAAGACGGTCACATATTCAAACATCCAACCACAGAAAGTGGAGATTGAAACACCAGCGCAGTGGAAGGACACAATGTAAGAGACACACTTCTCTTTCCAAAGTCAAAAAATATACAATTACTCTTTGAACCTTGACGATCATAGGTCACTACATATACACAACGTATGAAATATCAATAAATATACATTATTTACTGAATAGCAAAATAGTGTGGCAGCAACAATAAAGCTATCTTCAATTGTGGATAAGTCGATATCATTTACACAGACTTGGAGGTCTTCCAGTATCTGTTTCGAAAGAAAAATAAAAGACTGAACATATTTGCATGGTTGCCACTAGTAGTAGTTGTTTTGTCTAACGCAACACACAAAAACATTCCTCTATTCTGAGTAGCCTCTCTCTTGATTTGAGTTTTGTTTTTTTGCTGCCCCTCCAACATACCCACAGGAAAAAATCCCTGACCTCCAAAACACACATCAGATCAATAAAAGAAATAGGGTAATTCTTTCATATTCCATCTCACCCACGGGACAGCCCAATAACCGTTATATATGCCATACAAGGTGGAGCTATGCACAAAATCTCAATGGTCAGTGATCTACATCAAAACATTACAAAACAAGGTCACAGTAGTCCCATGTACTGCAAGCACCCCCCCTCCCCACACACACACCATAGCCACATGTAAAGGAAGTAGGAACCTCTGTGTATATTACATATGTGAGTAGAGTGGCATCCACCAACAGTTTTGCAAGTGAAGAGTGTCTCAATTCCTACCCCGGTGACATGATTGTGACAACAACGTGATTAGAGTTCTGTCAAATGGCAAATGCCTGTTTTTTTGTGTGACATCAGGTCACATGTGCTCCGCCTGGGAAGTAGTACCACTGGAAACCAACACAGAAAAAGCAAACCATGGTTGGTACGACAACGAGAGCTATAAGGGGACTGTATGAAGTTAAAGGGGTAGTTCACTCACAATTCAAAGTTTCAGAAATTTTCAGACCTTGAAGGTGCTCTAATGTCAACATGATTCCAAGTCCCACACCATTGGTTAAGTAGATCCAGCTATACCGTGCATTCAGAAAGTATTCAGACACCTTCACTTTTTCCACATTTTGTTACGTTACAGCCTTATTCTGAAATGGAATAAATTGTTTTTTCCGTCATCAATCTACAACAATACCACATAATGACAAATAAAAACAGTTTTGTTTTTTACATTTTGTCAAATTATAAAAAATAAAAAACGTAAACATTTACACAAGTATTCAGAACCTTTACGCAGTACTTTATTGAAGCACATTTGGCAGCAATTACAGCCTCAAGTCTTCTTGGGTATGACGCTACAAGCTTGGCACACATGTATTTGGGGAGTTTCTCCCATTCTTCTCCGCAGATCCTCTCAAGCGCTGTCAGGTTGAATGGGGAGTGTCGCTGCGCAGCTATTTTCAGGTCTCTCCAGAGATGTTCGATTGGGTTCGAGTCCGAGCTCTGGCTAGGCCACTCAAGGACATTCGGAGACTTGTCCCAAAGCCACTCCTGCGTTGTCTTGGCTATGTGCTTAGGGTCGTTGTCCTGTTAGAAGGTGAACCCCAGTCTGAGGTCCTGAGCGCTCTGGAGCAGGTTTTCATCAAGGATCTCTCTGTACTTTGCTCTGTTCATCTTTCCCTCGATCCTGACAGTCCCGGCCGCTGAAAAACATCCCCACAGCATGATGCTGCCACCACCATGCTTCACCGTAGGGATGGTGCCAGGTTTCCTCCAGATGTGACGCTTGGCATTCAGGCCAAAGAGTTCAATCTTGGTTTCATCAGACCAGAGAATCTTGTTTCTCATGGTCTGATAGTGCTTTAGGTGCCTTTTGGCAAATTCCAAGTGGGATGTCATGTGCCTTTTACTGAGGAGTGGCTTCTGTATGACCACTCTACCATAAAGGCCTGATTGGTGGAGTGCTGCAGAGATGGTTGTCCTTCTGGAAGTTTATCCCATCTCCACAGAGGAACTCTGGAGCTCTGTCAGAGTGACCATTGGATTTTTGGTCACCTCCATGACCAAGGCCCTTGTCCCCCGATTGCTCAGTTTGGCTGGGGGGCCAGCTCTAGGAAGAGTCTTGGTGGTTCCAAACATATTCCATTTAAGAATGATGGAGGCCACTGTGTTCTTGGGGACCTTCAATGCTGCAGACATTTTTTGGTACCCTTCCCCAGATCTGTGCCTCGACACAATCCTGTCTCGGAGCTCTACGGACAATTCCTTCGACCTCATGGCTTGGTTTTTGCTCTGACATGCACTGTCAACTGTGGGACCTTATGTAGACAGGTGTGTGCCTTTCCAAATAATGTCCAATCAATTGAATTTACCACAGGTGGACTCCAAGTTGCAGAAACATCAAAGATTATCAATAGAAACAGGACGCACCCAAGCTCGATTTCTAGTCTCATAGCAGGGTCTGAATACTTATGTAAATAAGGTATGTTTTTATTTAAAATATTTGCAAAAATTTATAAAAAACTGTTTTCGCTTTGTCATTATGGGGTATTGTGTGTAGATTGATGAGGGAAAAAAAGAATTTCATCCATTTTAGAATAAGGCTGTAACGTAACAAAATGTGGAAAAAGTGAAGGGGTCTGAATACTTTCCGAATGCACTGTATGCTTGAATCCCAAATAAATGGGAAAGATTGGCACTGTCTAAAATGGTGAAATCAGACTGTGTCCATCTTTCCCATTAATTTGGGATTGGAGCATAAAACTTGATCTACTTGAGATGGACATGGAGTCTTATCGACTTCAAATGACGGGGCTGAAAACCTCTAATAAAAACTTTAATTTTGGATTGAACTAGGCTAGCCCTTTGTGTTTCATATGAAGAAGGGTAACTAGTGAGGGAGTTAGGCGTTGACACCCCTTTAGCGTTCATGAAAACATCATCACTGTATAGTTATTACAGTATGTAGATAAGTACAATATACAGTTGTGTGACAAAGGGCCAAAAGTGCCATACGATGGTGAGTGGACAGATCCAGAATTAAAGATATGATTAGAGGGAAGAACTCTATAGAAATAACCTATTCCTTAATGATTGTTTTTGACCTTAATAAAGAAGACAAATGAGATGCAGAAGACTTGGTCAGTGTTATGGTGCATTGCTTGAAATAAAACAAAATGATCAATGTAGGACAAGCACTCTGCACCACACATTCTCTTCTGAGTGTATGCTGGTTAAAGAGATTCTCCGGTACTTCTGTATACTTTTTCGCCAGTAGTTCTGAAAGTAGTGCTCACGAGGCAAAAGTGGCCCCCGAAAATTGTGTATTACTGCAGATATGTGCACCACGTCATTGATCTCTCTCTTTCTCTGCTGTAGGTGCATCATGTGCATCTTGCTAGCTGTGACTCATATGGCGAGGGGCAGAAGCCCATTGGTTGAACTCAAATTGCTAGGGGGCTGGCCCAGGTGGGGGAAAATGTAGGGAAAATGGCGCAGCACAGCATCCAGAAAAACAGTTGCTTTTAAACTAGGGATTTCGTAGCTAATTTAGGTAAGACAGTAAATTCTGCTCATAGATTATGCATGTATGAACTACACATTGACACATCCAGCCCAAAGCGGGAGGTTTAAAAAATACTTAGTAGTCGCCAAAAGTTCCGGAGTATGTCTTTAAGGAAGGTGTCAGTTTCCATACTGTAGTAGATATAGGCTACATGATTTGTATGAATTCCTTAAGCATGATTATAATAGCTTGTGCTAATTCCCACTGAAAAATATATTTTTTCCAAAGACCTCTTAGTATTTAATTTGTTTTATCATATATGCATCAAGTGCAAACACTTTTCATTGATTGAGAAATATAAATATTGATGGCAGCAACGGAGGCCAGATAAAACAGCACCTGGACACTAAGTCAAATAAAGGGTTTATGACAGCTGACAAGTGGGCAACAGTTTCGAGGGATCGGGGTATTGCAGTGTAAACATCTAAAGTGGTGCTTGCTCATCATTATTTGCCAAATGAGATCCACCCCCACATCACAAAATCACCATTTCTGTTTTGTCTCTTTTTTTGTGTGTGGAAAAAACAAATGGCACTTAGAAAAAACAACAAAACATTGATTGGAAAACAGAAACACAATGTGCTTAGGTGGCTTTAACATCAAGTCTTTTTTTTACTCTTCTCAAATATAATATTCATATCCAATTTGATTGGATTAACACTTATTATCATTATTCGTATATATCTTATTTTTTACAAAATAAAACGTTTGTTTAAAAAAGTGACCAAGTTCAGTCCTTCCTCTCTAAACAAATGGAAAAACAAAGAGTTTGTGATTGAACCGTCTCAGGTTGAGGGGTTAGCCAGAACAGAACAGGATACAGTATTTACAAGTGACATAGCAAAAAAAAGTTGGTCGCTGTAGCGTTCAAATTTCCTCACAATCATACCGTCAGCCGTGTATGTACGGCCCGGGATTGATAAAGGACGCAAAAAAACTCAGTCATTAAGGCCACACTGACCTTTGACCTAGAGTATTACACAAACCCAGAAAGAAAGAGGAAAAAAGAGAGAGGACATAGGAGTAGAATCCTATCTCTGTGGAGATGGCTAAAATGGTGCATTCTCTGGAGGAAATTAAGGCATTTTGAAAGAAAGAAACAAGCAAACAAATATACAAACAAAACAGACATGAGAGTAACAAGAGTCTTTCTGTCCTGTGTTCCGCTAAGTGGTGGTGTAGTTGGTGTTATCAGGGATATTTTATATAAAAGGCACCAAGTTCTTCTTCTAAAAACGTCTTTCTCCAGTCTCATGACCACCACAAGTCTCCCAGTCCCAGCAGCAAGCGTGAGACAAAAAATGTATAATCCAAGCATCATTCCACAGAATCCTTCCTCGTTCAATCCGTTCATTGCACCAGGCGGTAAGTTTGAGTGTGGGTGTGTATTTGTTTTTTGATAGTCCAAACAAAGTAGAAGGGTAAAAACCACCTCAAAATGCATTATGTCCCATACAAAGTGGAGGGAGCTGAGGCTTCCTGAAGGAAAAAAAGTAAGGGCTGAATTGGAGCGATATGTTGTCTCCTTCAGCCAGTAAGTCCCCCTTGGCAGGCTCCACAGCTCGACCTCCACTCCACAACCACAGCTGATATCGGATACAGTGAAAGGAATATACAGTATTTATATATATGCAAATATACATATCATATATGTTTGTGTGCTTCTTTGAACAGATTATTGAACAGACGCATGAGAATACCAAATGACAGACACGAAATAGGAACAGAGGTACGCATGCTCTGAAAGGAAGAGCATTATTCATTGATACAACCCCATTGTTGTTCCTCTGTTGGGAACTTAGTGTGTATAGTATAATGCGGGTGTGTTTGAGTGTATTTGTGGCTGTTGAAATATTTTTGCTGCTTGTTGGCTTTTTCAGTTCTAATGTTCCTGAAAAGTATAAAGTATGACAAGAAATGTACAAAGCTTCTCGGGCCCCATAGCCGAGGCACCCTCCTGGATCCACTGCCTTTTGCTTTCTCCACGAATACAAAAAAGATTGAAAGAAAAAAGCAAAAGACACAGGCTCCTCAAAAGGTCCAGCCTCTTCCTGCTTCTCCACCAATCACGAATATCCGCCGCTGCCCCCTTTAGGTCAGTGTTTGTGTTCTGCCTCCCCTCTCCCACACACACTTTAACACACTCACCTCAGAGAGGTGGAAAGGGAGGCAAGCACAAGTCCATCAATCCTCAGAAAATGGACGGAAGGAGGTGAGGCGAGGGAGAGGGCTGGAAAGTGGAGAGGAGGGGGTGACAGGAGAAGGCTAGTGCCGAAGGACGTGGAGACAAAGGTGTTGCGCTGTCGTGACAACTCTCTGTTTCCTCCTACAAGACAGGCTCCTCTTCCATTGGCTCTTCTGTAGACCTGCAGGTACACCAAACAGGAAACAGCAAGACAAGCCTCTTAGTCATGCCAAAATAAAAGCCCCTACCAACGAAGGTAGGGCAAAACTTATATGATAAGTGTACACTTTAACAAGCCTCAGTGGAACTTCAGGCCCACAGCCTTGTGAATGAATCTGATGTCTTAAAACAGCCATTCCAAAACCACATAAAATCCTCAAGAGTGAATGGTGCAGGTGTTTACCTGCTAGTCTCCGTGGAGACGGTGGAAGCGGCAGCCTGCTCAGTATCCACGGTGAGCGATGCCATGGCGGTGACCGTGTCGGCCTCGTCCTTCTCTCTCCGCTGGGCATCCATTAAGGACTGGCCCACCGTGGGAGCCAACCTTTGGAGAGAGCTCCAGTGTTTACCTGCAGGAAGAGAAAGATATGGGAGGGAGAGAGAGAGAGAGAGTCGTGTCACTTTTAAGGGTGACGTGATACACATGACGCAAACACAACTAAGTGCATATGTGCAGGTAAAACACAATGATCATTTTGATTTTAGCGAGCTAACTCACTCTGTATCTCGATGACCCTCTCCAGAGAGGCAGCAGCTTTTGGACAGGGCTTCTGTTGCAGGACAGCCTGGGGCAGGGGGTCCAACTGACAGAGAGAGAGTGTAGAGGGAGGGAGAGATAAACAGAGAGAGAGTGTACAGTGCCTTGCAAAAGTATTCATCCCCCTCTGCGTTTTTCCTATTTTGTTGCATTACAACCTGTAATTTAAATAGATTTTTATTTGGATTTCATGTAAAGGACATACACAAAATAGTCCAAATAACTTGTTTAAAAAAAATCTAAAACATAAATAACAGAAAAGTGGTGCGCGCATATGTATTCACCCCCTTTGCTATGAAGCCCCTATATAAGATCTGGTGCAACCAATTACCTTCAGAAGTCAAATAATTAGTTAGATTGCACACAGGTGGACTTTATTTAAGTGTCACATGATCTCAGCATATATACACCTGTTCTGAAAGGCCCCAGAGTCTGCAACACCACTAAGCAAGGGGCACCACCAAGCAAGTGGCACCATGAAGACCAAGGAGCTCTCCAAACAGGTCAGGGACAAAGTTGTGGAGAAGTACAGATCAGGGTTGGGTTATAAAAAAATATCAGAAACTTTGAACATCCCACGGAGCACCATTAAATCCATTATTAAAAAATGGAAAGAATACGGCATGACAACAAACCTGCCAAGAGAGGGCCGCCCACCAAAACTCACAGACCAGGCAAGGAGGGCATTAATCAGAGAGGCAACAAAGAGACCAAAGATAACCCTGAAGGAGCTGCAAAGCTCCACAGCGGAGATTGGAGTATCTGTTCATAGGACCACTTTAAGCCGTACATGCCACAGAGCTGGGCTTTACGGAAGAGTGGCCAGAAAAAAGCCATTGCTTATAGAAAAAAATAAGCAAACACGTTTGGTGTTCGCCAAAAGGCACGTGTGAGACTCCCCAAAAATTTGGAAGAAGGTACTCTGGTCAGACGAGAATAAAATTGAGCTTTTTGGCCATCAAGGAAAACGCTATGTCTGGCGCAAACCCAACACCTCTCATCACCCCGAGAACACCATCCCCACAGTGAAGCATGGTGGTGGCAGCATCATGTTGTGGGGATGTTTTTCCATCGGCAGGGACTGGGAAACTGGTGGGAATTGAAGGAATGATGGATGGCGCTAAATACAGGGAAATTCTTGAGGGAAACCTGTTTCAGTCTTCCAGAGATTTGAGACTGGAACGGAGGTTCACCTTCGAGCAGGACAATGACCCTAAGCATACTGCTAAAGCAACACTCGAGTGGTTTAAGGGGAAACATTTAAATGTCTTGGAATGGCCTAGTCAAAGCCCAGACCTCAATCCAATTGAAAATCTGTGGTATGACTTAAAGATTGCTGTACACCAGCGGAACCCATCCAACTTGAAGGAGCTGGAGCAGTTTTGCCTTGAAGAACGGGCAAAAATCCCAGTGGCTATATGTGCCAAGCTTATAGAGACATACCCCAAGAGACTTGCAGCTGTAATTGCTGCAAAAGGTGGCTCTACAAAGTATTGACTTTGGGGGGGGTGAATAGTTATGCACGCTCAAGTTTTCTGTTTTTTTGTCTTATTTCTTTTTTGTTTCACTATAAAAAATATTTTGCATCTTCAAAGTGGTAGGCATGTTGTGTAAATCAAATGGTACAAACCCCCCCAACATCTATTTTAATTCCAGGTTGTAAGGCAACAAAATAAGAAAAATGCCAAGGGGGGGTGAATACTTTCGCACGCCACTGTAGAGGGAGGGAGAGATAGACAGAGATTATTTTTTCTCTGAACAATTACATCCATCTCTACCAAATGACATGTAGTGTATGTGACATCACGCCACTCTCCCCTCCTCCTATAGCGGATGATGTCATACCTCGTCGCCGAGCAGGGCCGCCACGCAGGACTCGGAAGCGTCACAGATGGCCGTGAGGTCGTGACCTCCTTCCAGCGCCAGGACCACACGTCCCCCCGCCAGCTTCATCAGCTGCTTGGTGAGGTGGCCGAAACCTGAGAAGGGTTCAACACTCTACTGACCCTGTACTGAGTATAATCTTCTGAGTAAATCATGCATTGATGTAAATAGGAGAGGTTTGCGTGGGAATTCTAGTTTTGTGCAGGTTTATGACAGGAAATAATTGAGGTACTTCAATGTTCCTATGGAGTGTCTGGCTTTTCTTCTAGTGGTTTAGTACTATTCTTCCAGCAGGGGGTAGTAGTGTTAAGCATATACAATTAGCTGGAGGACCCTCCTATAAAAGCACACTCTATGGAAAAGGCTTGGCAGAAAAACTGACAGACAAGTAAAGACAGAGTAATGTTCAACTTACATTTAGCAGTGACGTTGTATCCTCCCAGAGGGGACTGATGGCCCTCCACGGCATCAAACCCAGCCGACACTAGGACCACATCAGGGGAGAACTCGTTGGCTATGGGCATCACCACCGTCCTGTATAGCAGACAAGATGGAGAACGTCATTGTAATGTCTTACGTTTCCAGACCATCTGCAAGAACTAAGCAGTGTGCAAATTGCTAAATAAGCAGAGCCTGTTCATATGAATGAAAGATCAGTGCCAATGTTGCTGCTCGTTCAGCTAATGACCAACAACAGTCTCTTCACCTGAAGGCAGTCAGGTACTCCACGTCACCCATGGGCGGTTCTACGCCCCCTGTCCACGCGATGTTTGTGTTGAATCCAACACCAGGTCCAACCCCCACCTCTTCAGGAGCCCCACTGCCGGGGAAGAAGTTTCCATCGTCGTAGCGATGCATGGAAATGTAAAGCACGTTGGGGTCATTGTAAAAGGCCTGCTGTGTCCCGTTACCATGGTGAATATCCTGGAGAGAGAGAATGGATATGTGAATAATAATACATGACTAGCATTGATCACATAACGTATGGTATATGTTTTGGTATCATGGCAACACTAGCACATACAGGGCCTCACTAGCACACAGGGCCTCACTAACAACATACGACCCACTCACCCAGTCCACGATGAGGATCTTGCCCACTCCTAGTTTCTGTTTTAGCAGCTTGGCTGTGATGGCCACTGAGTTGAAGAAGCAGAAGCCCCTGCAGACAAAGACAGACACAAAATATGTCCGTTTTCTTTTATCAACACAAACAGGGAGATTGTTTAAGGGCCCTACCCAGTAGCTACTCAAAATGGACGCTTGTACCAATTATTATATCAACCATCGCACACGTCATGTCTCTATGAAACTTCAACCAACTCCCCTGATGCCCCCTAGCCACTCCCCTGCCCCTACCGATGATTCCCTGGGTGTACTCACATGGCAGTGGATTCCTCAGCGTGATGGCCTGGTGGACGCACCACGGCAAAACCATTCTGAAATGGAGAGGCGAGAGAGAGAGAAACCGTTCATGAGAAAATGTTGAGTAGGCCTATCCATCGACAAAACAAGTGCTTATTGATTAGGCTACTACCGTGTCCACCCATGAACAAACCCACAGTGTATATTACATGATTATTACATATTGTTCATTTCATAAGGTTAAAGGTTGCCCCTGACAACTTTCAATCAAACTGAAGTGGAATGGAGAGAGGCTGGTAATATAACTCTACACTCTGTTACCTTAAGTTCCCCGGCGGCCACTTTGAAAGCCAGCTCGATGACGCAGCCAACAGCCATTCGGACAGCGCCCGAAGAGTGCATCTCGTTCCACACAGTGTCACTGTCCACCTGCAGAGGGCAATAGAGTATACACTCATCACCACCCTGCTACTGTTCTTTTAACACTGATAACATAATGATGACACTGCTGTAGGTGATGTAATGCTCAGCTTTGTGCCGCTTATGTTTATTGAATATCCTACAATTAAACTGCATGATACTTTCTGATACTGTATTATTATCCAATCTCTACCTCTAACTAAAATGTAAATGTACCTCCATTATAAATGCATTTGATAGCGATTAATCAAATGGACTGGACTAAAGGATACATGAGATGGATGGACTGGTGTATTTAAAGGGTTGGTAGATGGATGGATGGATGGATGGATAGATGGGTGAATGGACGGACGACTCACCCCAATGCCTCCACAGGGCAACACAGCGTACATCTTCTGACTGATTGGACCTTAAGGAGCCAATGGGGACAGGGAGCAAAGGTTAGGTTGTAGTTTAAACAAGTTAAACACTATTTAGCCACATTTCAAAATGTTATCTCACACACACTTTTGTGATCCAACTTAAGCCTTCCTAGCAGGGAGAGTTTTTTTCCAAGATGCTCGGCATAAAGTATTCAGACCCCTTCCCCTTTTCCACATTTTGTTACGTTACAGCCTTATTCTAAAATTGATGAAATTGTTTTTTTCTTCATCAATCTACACACAATACCCCATAACGACAAAGCAAAAGCAGCATTTTTATAATCACATTTTTGTTGTTGTAAAAAAAAACCTCTAGGAAGTGTCTTGGTGGTTCCAAACGTCTTCCATTTAAGAATGATGGAGGCCACTGTGTTCTTGGGGACCTTCAATGCTGCAGAAATGTTTTGGTACCCTTCCCCAGATTTGTGCTCTGACACAATCCTGTCTCGGAGTTCTACGGACAATTCCTTCGACCTCATGGCTTGGTTTTTGCTCTGATATGCACTGTCAACTGTGGGACCTTATATAGACAGGTGTGTGCCTTTCCAAATCATGTCCAATCAATTGAATTTACCACAGGTGGACTCCAATCAAGTTGTAGAAACATCAATGATGATCAATGGAGACATGATGCACCTGAGCTCAATTTCGAGTCTCATAGCAAAGGGTCTGAATACTTATGTAAATAAGGTATGTTTTTAATTTTTAATAGATTTGCAAAAATGTCTAAAAGCCTGTTTTCGCTTTGTCATTATGGGGAATTGTGTGTAGATTGATGAGGAAAAACATTTATTTAATCCATTTTAGAATAAGGCTGTAGCGTAACAAAATGTGGAAAAAGTCAAGGGGTCTGAATACTTGTATAGTTGTTTTTTACCATTGATGTCTGCAATTTGCCCTGAGTCCTGTTCTGCTCAGCACCGCACATAGAGTGAACTCACTTTGAAGTGTGTGTGTATGTGTGTATGTATGTGTGTGTGCGTGTGTGTGTAGTCGACGGCTCAGTCGCTGCAGTGCTGTGTTGCAGCTGATCCAGTCATCCCCCCCCACCCCTCCTCGATGAGGCCCAGCCTAGCTATGAGTCACCCAGACGGGGGTGGACGGGCGTCTGGGGCCCTTTCCCCTCAACCAGCATGCCTAAAAATACCCCCCTGCGCCTGTCAGGGGAGCTAAGCCTTCAAACAATCCACCTGACTGCGTGTGAGTGTGTGTGTGTGTGGGTGGATGGAAAGGAGAGGGGCAGTCACTACTTTCAAGGATGCTTGGGGCAAATCTTGTTTCCACCATTCGAGCAAAATGGCCAGGGAAACACACAAATGCATGTGCGCACACCACACAATCACATCAATATATCTGAGGAGTAAAGGTATGAAGAGATGAGGTTAGACACCTAAGAGCTTCTTGCTGTCTAGTTTCTGTCTGTTGAGGGGACTGGTGCCGTACAGCAGGGTGTGGTATTCTGAATGCACCGTCTGGATCTCATCCAACGTGGCCTTCCTCCCCCGAATCCTCTGTACACGGTAAAGGAAAACACACGTAGCACACAATACATCAATTTCATTCAGGGTTATGCTGTATTGCTAATTGGCAAGTGATTTTTTAAATGAACTAGAACTAATTATGGATATATCTCATTCTCATCTCCACATATATATTCCACCCTCTTGTTTCGGTCCAGATAAGTTACTGAGAAGAAATTCTCTTTGGAAATATGGAACGGAGCTGGTCACTATTCTAGCTGTAGTGTGCAGGGTGCTCTCACCTCAGAGCGGCCCAGCAGCCCTGTCTCCTGCAGCCGGGACCACACACTCTGGATGCGGCCGGCGTGCTCCGGGTGGATGTGGGTGTTCCCACACATACACTGGTGCTTCAGCATAAAGGTGTCGTACACCAACCCTGAGAAGGAGGAGATGATAGGAGAAGGAGAGAGGGAGGGAGTAAGAGAAAGATGGAGAGAAAGGGACGGCATGAGTGAGATGGAGAGAGAGAAAGATAAGGGAAAGAAAAAGAGAGAAAGATGGAAAGAAGAGGAGAAAATGTAACTTTTCAAGGCAGGGTAGGAACGAGACCAACCACAGTGCAACCTCTCTGCAACTTCTCTCTCAGAACAAATGGTAACCACACCATTCATAACCCCATTACCCAGCAGGTCAGAGCATAGTAAGACCATAATCATCTCTAATGGCTTTTTTCATGTTCAATATCGTCCTGCCATCATGGTTTCATCAGATCCAACCCTGCAGGCTCTCGCTATTATTATTTTCTCTGCTGAAATAATGACACCCAGGATGCTTGCCTCTGCCCTTATTGGACTCATCATAGTCCAGAGGTTCCCAAACCTTTTCACTAGGGGCCCAGCATTGGGGAACATCCCGCACAGCACGCACCACGTCTATTTCTATGGGCACTAGCACTGTTCCTGACACAAACTGTTCATACCCCTCTTGTTGGTGGAGAGAACTTTGCAGGTTTAAAGCTTATTTCCTGCAATTCTACACATTTTGTCATGTCTAATGTTTATTCATGTGATATTTGAATGACAAAAAAATTACAACAATATGTATGGGCTAAAAAAAACTAAATAAAAAAACGTTAGCTGACATGGGACATTTCTGACAAGTTATAAATAGCTCTCTAAAGTATGTAATAACTAACATGACAAGAGGATCTGATGATGCAATTCCCAATTTTGAAATTGCACCTTGTGCATTCTACTATTACAACTTTTAAGAGTACGTTTAAAGCCGGACTGAGTTCCTGCCGACCCCTCGCCACGCCCCACTGTTTGGGAACATTTACGTCATTTAGCAGACGCTCTTATCCAGAGCGACTTACAGTTAGTGCATACATTATTTTTTTATTTTTCATACTGGCCCCCCGTGGGAATCGAACCCACAACCCTGGCGTTGCAAACGCCATGCTCTACCAACTGAGCTACATCCCTGCCGGCCATTCCCTCCCCTACCCTGGACAACGCTGGGCCAATTGTGCGCCGCCCCATGAACCATTGACTTAGTCAACACGTCCTGTTCTGCAGGGCCATTTGACCATGGACTGGCTAGGAAAGCATTTGTTTTCTGAAAGTGTCTTTTCTCTAAAGCCAATTGCTTTCGTTAGTGTTTGTAACTAATGGGGATCCATTGTTAAAGCTCTAATATCTACCACAATGACAAAAAAAATACAGAGATTCAGATAGATAACTAAGTTGAGGCAGTTTATCTTTCATATTGTTCAATGGGTCCTGATCATCTAACTTTGTGTGTCATCTGTTCCAAAAACCAAAGAAGCGTACCTGTAGTGAAGAGGTGCTTGATGGGGACCTCACCCATATGCGCCCCCTTGAGGCTGGCAGTGGCAGGGGAGGACTGGGCCCTTCCCAGAGGTCTGTGGGGCATGCCCGAGATGGACAGGGATGCCTGGAAAACATTGAGCTGCTGCAGGTGATGCTGGTCGGAAAATTGGGGAAGAAAGAACAAATAGAGGGATTTTGAATACCAGCTAACACTTTGAATACTGTCTTTCATCATGAGACACTGACTGGACTTCAGTGTGAGGGAATGGGCTTAGTACCTCACATTGAACATACATAGCTAAATAAAAATCAGACATTGGTCGTCAATTACAGCTCTGTGGCTTTCATTGTTTACATCGGATAGAAATACTGCAACCTTGAGAGAGGTGACATTTCACAATAGCTGTAAACTGAAGCTGCCACTTCAGGCCAATGGAACGAGGGGAAAATGGGAGGGAGGTGGAGCTAAATTAAGCCTGTATAGACTAAACATGGGCCCTGGGTAGAAACCCAAAGGCAAACATGTATCCACGTACGAGCCTCAAAAGGCAGGGCAAGACAAGGACCAAGCCTTCCCAACAGCCAAAAGACTACTCTGACCATTCCCCAGCTGTAAACACAGTGGCTGAGCTAACGGGGCTCTGCTTTCTGTCAATGGGAGAAGCACTACACATTCAGACAGGAGCTGAAGAACTTGAGATGGGAGCGGAGTTTACGCGGACACACACACCGGTCCGGCAGGCCCACACCTTGCTAACCCCTTTTTAACGAGAGATTCTCTCTCTCTCTCTCTCTCTCACACACACACACACACACACACACACACACACACACCACACACACACACACACACACACACACACACACACCACACACACACACACACACACACACACACACACACACACACACACACACACACACACACACACACACACACACACAGGGCGGCTCAGATCAATTTGTATTCAAGGCACCACAGCAGACAAGTAGAGCAGAGTCAGAGGGAAAAAAAAAAAAGTTCAGAGGGTGTGTGTGTGCAGGGAGGGGGGGCCCTTCTGTGTCGCTGACTAGAATGCCAAAATATGTTTTTCAGGATTTCTCTACAGAATGACTGCATACACCCCTGCTCCCTCCCTCCCTCCCCCCCATACCCTAAAAACCCCTATCCCTCTAGCCCGTCACAACAGAAATAGTACTGCAGCAGCCTAGCTCCCTGGTGAGCGGTGAATTGGTGTAAAGTGCAGGGGAGAAAGGGGGAGAATGGGGGAGAGAAGGGCAGGCATGGTGAAGAAAGAAGGGGGAGAGAGAGGCGGGGGTGGGAGGGAGAGAGGGGAATGATTCACCAAGGAGAGATGAGTCACAGATGAGTCCATTCACTGAAATGAGAAAAAGCAGCAAGGGCAGGGGAGGGTGGGTGTGCACGCGTTGAGTGGGAGAAGAAAACGCAGACTGAATTCTGATGCTTTTCTCTCTTCTGATATTTTTTCTCAATGGTGTGTGGGAGTAGGAGAGTTTTTTTTTTATATAATCTCCCTCGCTGCATTGGTTCTTCCCCCCTCCAACGCACAAACAGCAAACATACACACTGGAATATGATTTATTCTCGAGAAACGTGACCACATAACATGTCCATTCTTTCCCCCTCTTTTTAATGTTACGTATTAATTGCTGTCAATGACCATAATTTAGAGCCAAATATGATAACAAACAGCACATAGCCAAATGTGGCCGTGTACTGTATTATATTGTAATGTTTAGGTCTTCATAAAAGAGTATGCGGCACTGATGAGGATCCAAATATATGTAATCAACAACTGAGTAGAGTTTCTGTCTGGGCTAATGCCAGCTAAACCCAAATTCAATCCATCTTGATTACCTGTAGTAATGAATTTGATTCGGATATAAAAAAATAGGCCACTTGCCCTTTCGCAACTTTTGTTTAACAACTTTTAACTGGAGCTGCTTATCCTCTTGGTAATTTGTGAAAGAACTGCAGGCGATTCATTCTCGAGAGAGCTTGTTCCTTTATTTCCTGCTAAGTGCGATGGATGACTCATGGGTGGGTGAGAATTAAGGCTCTCTCTCTTCTGTAGGGAGCTATGATGATGATGCCTCGCACAGCGCAGCCACTCTGCCCTCCGAGAGGGGATACCCTTTTCTAAATCACCAGGCCCCCGCAAAACTGAACCCACCACTCAAACTGGGTGTGAACGCCAATCTACGTAGCCAAATCGCTAATGACGTTCCTTCCTTTTTTTGCACCACTGCAAAAAATCTAAATTTATCAAACATTGTGTTAGAAGTTTATCCTACTGAGAACTATGTAACATAACTATTTGAAATAGGTGTGAGTGCTGGGTGTTATTTTTATGAATTATTTTATATACTGTGAAATCTGCTGGACATGGCTATGTAACTGCATAGCCTTTGCTACTGATCTTTTGGTAGGTCACTTCTGCAATCTACCCCCCTCTCTGGAGTGATTGCTCATTCTAGACAGTTTCATGCATTAAGTCATGAATGGCCCATTATAAGAGGTAAAATGACGAATCAAGTCACTAGATTTAGTCATCACAGACAGACGTCACCGGAACAGATTTGGGAAATTCAACAACGAATGGGGTCTGAATATTTTTACTGCACTGTTAGGAGCTAGTGAAACAAGTATTTTGCTGCACCTGCTATAACACCAATAAACTTTGATTTGATTTTATCAAAATGAATCATAGTACAGGGAATGACAATGAAACTCATGGTTTATAAATAAACTATTTGCACCTCTTATTGGCTCTCTGATTTTCTTACAGAAAGTAATCTTAGTTAGTGTTAAACTTGCAAGGCAATACATTTAGTTTTTCTCTACCAAAGTAAGATTCAATGCTAAATGTCTTTAAAAAAATTGAGTATTTACCTGGCCGAAAGGTACGCCTTCCTCGTCACACTCCCTCAGCTCGATGGCCTCATCTTCATCATCCTCTTCCTCCAGGTCGCTCTCTGTGCTCTCGCCCTTCAGGGGGGTCAGCAGGCGTTCCGAGGGGGGCGACGTCTCCCCCGACCCTTCCTTCTGGAGCCTCTGCTCCTGAAGACGCCCCTCCCCCAGACGCTCAGACCCCGCCCCTGACCCCTCCTCCTGCATCTCCTGCGTCTCTGTGAGCTCCTCCTCAGTCTCTTCGGGGTGGGTGGGTGGCTGGCGAGGAAGCTCCACCCCTTTTGACAGAATCTGGTGTGGTTGACAGATAGGGAGAGTTAGGCACTGCTGCCACAGAGGCATGTACAGTATACTACACCCCCCAGTCCAAGCAAATGGCATATAATACTTTTTTACCCGCAAACACAAATAACCATAACCACTAATACTGTAGTAATGTTTCTTGTGGCGCCCCCTACCTTGTTGAGCTGGTACTGCTTCTGCTTCTCCAGGAAGTGCTGGTGCTGCTGCTGCATGACGAGCTGCTGCAGGGCCTGGGGGCTCTGGGGGAGGGGTGCAGACTGGGTACGGCTCAGGGGCCGGTGGCGTGGCAGCTTGTTCACCGTGCGCATACTGTTGGACACCCACTCCCCCGTCACCAACGGCGACTGACCGTACATAGGGACTGGAGGGAGGAGGAGTCAGAGAGACGTGTTTCAGAAGAGGCAGTATGTATTTGCATCTATATTTACCTGCAAGTAGGACACTCTCCTGGCAGGGATATAAGAGTATAAATATATGTTGGTAGATGTACCTGAGAGGAGGGCACTCTGCTGGCGGGCCTGCTCCAGCAGGAGGACGTGCTGCAGTAGGGAGGAGTGACTGCTGTGGCTGTTGGGGGCCTGGGGGGAGTCTAAGTCGTGTTGCATCCCAGGTGGCAGGCATGATGCCGGCAGGGACGAGGTGCTGACAAACTTGCCAGTCAGAGCCCCACCCTGCCGCATGGTCTGGATGGCCTGCCTCTCCGCCTCCTGCAACAGCTTCTGATTGGCCTGAGGATGGAAAGGGAGGGGGGTTAACTAAGTCAGAATGTCTACATCAGAGGAAAACTCTGGTTCAGGGGCCGGAGTGTGTGCTGGTTTCTATTTGTATTTTACCTCAACTCAGTGGGATGGAGCAGATTCAGGCAGTTAAAATGTCTCTATACGTACATGGAGATTATCTGGGTTAGTGACTGTTTTTAGTATGCATGCACTATACAGTGGAGTCATTAAAACAGAACATTTTTTGTAGACCTCCACAAGTCTGGTTCATCCTTGGGAGCAATTTCCAAATGCCTGAAGGTACCACGTTCATCTGTACAAACAATAGTACGCAAGTATAAACACCATGGGACCACGCAGCCGTCATACCGCTCTGGAAGGAGACTCGTTCTGTCTCCTAGAGATCAACGTACTTTGGTGCAAAAAGTGCAAATCAATCCCAGAACAACAGCAAAGGAACTTGTGAAGATGCTGGAGGAAACAGGTACAAAAGTATCTATATCCACAGTAAAACAAGTCCTATAGCGACATAACCTGAAAGGCCGCTCAGCAAGGAAGAAACCACTCCTCCAAAACAGCCATAAAAAAGCCAGACTACGGTTTGAAACTGCACATGGGGACAAAGTTCGTACTTTTTGGAGAAATGTCCTCTGGTCTGATGAAACAAAAATAGAACTGTTTGGGAAAATGTGTGGGCAGAACTGAAAAAGCGTGTGCGAGCAAGGAGGCCTACAAACCTGACTCAGTTACACCAGCTCTGTCAGGAGGAATGGGCCAAAATTCATCCAACTTATTGTGGGAAGCTTGTGGAAGGCTACCTGAAACGTTTGGCCAAGTTAAACAATTTAAAGGCAATGCTACCAAATACTAATTGAGTGTATGTAAACTTCTGACCCACTGGGAATGTGATGAAAGAAATAAAAGCTCAAATAAATCACTGTACTATTATTCTGACATTTCACATTCTTAAAATAAAGTGGTGATCCTAACTGACCTAAAACAGGGAATTTTTACTAGGATTAAATGTCAGGAATTGTGAAAAACTGAGTTTAAATGTATTTGGCTAAGGTGTATGTAAACTTCCGACTTCAACTGTATATATATATATACATACATACACACATATAAACACACACACACACACACACACACACACACACACACACACACACACTACCGTTCAAAATAAATAAAATATATTTTTTTGTCCATTAAAATAACATCAAATTGATCAGAAATACAGTGTAGACATTGTTAATGTTGTAAATGGCTATTGTAGCTGGAAACGGCTGATATTTAATGGAATATCTACATAGGCGTACAGAGGCCCATTATCAGCAACCATCAGTCCTGTGTTCCAATGGCACGTTGGGTTTGCTAATCCAAGTTTATCATTTTAAAAGGCTAATTGATCATTAGAAAACCCTTTTGCAATTATGTTACCACAGCTGAAAACGGTTGTGCTGATTAAAGAAGCAATAAAACTGGCCTTCTTGAGACTAGTTGAGTATCTGGAACATCAGCAATTGTGGGATCGATTACAGGCTCAAAATGGCCAGAAACAAATCACTTTCTTCTGAAACTCGTCAGTCTATTCTTGTTCTGAGAAATGAAGGCTATTCCATGCGAGAAATTGCCAAGAAACTGAAGATCTTGTACAACGCTGTGTACTACTCCCTTCACAGAACAGCGCAAACTGGCTCTAACCAGAATAGAAAGAGGAGTGAGAGGCCCTGGTGCACAACTGAGTAAGAGGACAAACACATTAGAGTGTCTAGTTTAAGAAACAGACGCCTCACAGGTCCTCAACTGGCAGCTTCATTAAATAGTACCCGCAAAACACCAGTCTCAACGTCAACAGTGAAGAGGCGACTCCGGGATGCTGACCTTCTAGGCAGAGTTGCAAAGAAAAAGCCATATCTCAGACTGCCCATCTTAATATTTTATTTTTATTGGCCAGTCTGAGAAATGGCTTTTTCTTTGCAACTCTCCCTAGAAGGTCAGCATCCCGGAGTCTCCTCTTCACTGTTGACATTGAGACTGGTGTTTTGCGGGTACTATTTAATGAAGCTGCCAGTTGAGGACCTGTGAGGCGTCTGTAGTGCACATGCAAGAGCTGGTTTCTTGGGCCTGCAGTGCATACAGTATGGGGGACTCTGTTGGGTTGCTATGTTGGGAACATTTTCTAGTAGGGATGGGCATTTGACTTGAGTAAAAAATATTTTTTTTTAAAAAGAAGCTATTTTTAGAACACAAGGCCCGCACTGGAAAAAAATATGTGCACATTTATCTATATGCCAACAATGAGAAGCAATGCCTAATTTATCATAACCATTACAGATAACAAATCCTAATTGCTAAATTGCCCCATATATATTCAGACAATAAAAAAAAACAAGTGCTATTTAAGCTTAATTTATTGAAACCGTAATATCGACTGGTTATATTATATCGTGGAACACAATCTTAAAAAAGGCAGCAACCTCAGCAGTGGCACTTGCTTGTAGAAGCCTATGACTGTGCAATGGCATAGCTTTGTTTTGTTAATTTAGCAGACAAAATGCTCTTATTTCCCGAGCCCTTATCACAATCCTGAGACACCTATTGTATTGTAAAAAAAACAAAAAAAACATGATGTAATATAACAGAATAATACATAACAGAATATTTTTCCAAAAGAAAGTACAAAGTGATGCGCATCTCACGTCTGTAACAGTTATTCTCACAGAGTGATCATTTGAAACGGGGCTCAATTTGGCAAGTTGAAATATTTTTTTCAGGTTTACAAACCAAAATCTGTCTTCTTTTCGATATACCGACGTTCGATTTAGTTTATTCTGCCTGTTCTTTGGAATTTTCCAAATGGATTAACAATTCCACATGGAACACTACATGGGGATGAATTACGACCACGACATCTGTTTGGTGAGATGGCCTAGGCTTAATGATTCTGATGAAAATGTTTTTTCATACATCACTGTTTAGGGGGGCTATAGCCTAGGCTAACCAATTCTAAATGGCACTAGCATTTCACAAAGTTCCTAAGTGGAAAATAGACGGGACACAATCTTTCCAAAACTGCAGCGCTAGTTGTTGGAACATATTTCCCTACTTCAATCAAGCAGTCCATTTTGAATTTGAAGTTGTCATTTGGCAAGGAATGTAGCTTGTGTATCCCATCAGTTAGATACGTTTTTATAGGCATTTATTTCTGTAGGTAAACCGGGAGCTTGCGTGCGCACTCAACACGTGTGTGTAGAGGGAGCGGTCGGAACACAATTGAGTGAGTGAGACACGGAGGGGAAAGAGAATTTAGGGAGAAGAACTGTGTGATGCTTGGCTTGGTTTTCTTTTTGTTGTGCCCCGCAAATGCACATGTACAAATGAAACACGAGTCAAAGCAAATTAAGGTTGTCTTCAAGACAACATTTCGTTCTCTGGTTAAAGATGGAGTTTTGACGTCCGTTCGAGTACTCCATTACTCATGCCCATCCTTATTTTATAGTATTCAGAATTTCAGTCTAGTACTCACGGTGAGGTGCGAGTTGGCTGGCAGACCCAGGGAGATGTTGGGCAGTGAGGGGGACGTGTAGAGGCTCAGTGGACTGACTGTCCCATCGGCGTTAAGGGTCTGGTGGAGGGACCGCAACTGCTGCACAGAAAAGAGGGAGGAAAAAGTGAGTGAGAGAGAGAGAGAATGGAAGAGAGATATAGGGGTAAAGAAAGAGTATGCAAGAACATCTGAGAGTTAAAAAAGGGCGAGATTGAGAGGATGGGTGTGATATAGGGAATTAAAAGGTTCAAGAAAGTGAGAAAAGATGGAGAATAGTAGACAGAGAGAGAGAGAGAGAGAGAGAGAGGATAGAAGCGTGCAGAGAGAGAGAGAAGAGAGAGAGAGAGAGAGATAGGAGAGAGCGAGCGGATAGAGAGAGAGAGATGAGATAGCTCGTCTGTTCTCTCTCTCTCGAGAAAGAGGGGATATCGACGCGAGGGGAGATCGCGGCGAGGCTAGACGAGGGGATCAGAGAGAGGGATGAGCTAGAGAGGGATAGGAGGAGCGAGATAGAAGAGAGCGGGATGAGAGAGCGAGGAGAGCGAGCGAGGGCGAGGACACAAAGCGGGGGGTGTTTTCCAGAGAGGGAGAGAGACAGAGTGAAGTCTTCCAACTCACTAAAACTTCCCATCAGGTCATGTATATTTAATCTACCCTAGCAACAACTACATAGAGGGGAAGAAAGGAATCCATCTTGTGTTCTATCTGACCCTCTGCAGTATAAACAGATATGACAGCAGCTCTAACCATTTAGTGTGACTCATTCTTTCACCTCGCACAACATATTTCTCTCCAGAGGCTGCCGAGGCTTCCAGTTCCCTTTGAACAAACGGCTGTTATTTAATGTTTGTGCAGGTGTGCTAGCTAGTGCCATTTCAGGAGCTTTTGTAAAACTTGCCATTTAGCGTTCACCTGGCTAACACTGTACAGAAACCCATTCAGAAGGGCATTCTCATCTTCTTTGACATCATAGGCCGTGTCCGAAATCTGTCTTGCCTACTACTTACTAAAACTACATACTGTGTACTAATAGTACTAACTACTATTTAGAACGTACTGTTTAGTAAAAACGTATCCAGTAAACAACAAATATCAACATACTAATCATCTATGATGAGAAGGCATCATCTAATGCGCAATTGTGCTTGTTCCCCACCAGTCGTTCATTTTAGTAGAGCACGTCCCCTATTCTGATTATCAGCTGTTGTCAAACACACGTGAGTGTGAAAATACTATTCTCTTCCTCAATAGTGTGCAGCGAATTCTACTTGATGAAAAGCCAAAATTAGTATTATATCCTAGAATATAAAGCATAATCATTTTTTTAAATTTCACAATTTTCACATACCCAAAAAGCATACTATTTAGAACGCAATATGGGTATTCGGACACGGCCATATTTCTCCCTGCCTGACCATTCTCTTTTTCAGCTCCCCCCGGCGAGGGTCAGCCTTTTTCACAGGCTCTCACTGATAATGATGTTATCGGGGAAGACTGACACAACATAATCACGATTTGAAACAGGGAAAATAAGGAAAAATGAAAAAAGTCACCATGCGTCCCAAACAAGGTGTCGGTCCATGGCAAACTGCCCTAATGTCACGCTCTCCTTTTTGTGTGCGTCTGACCATTTATCAGCCCGGATCTGCTGCTGCGGCAATGACGCAATAACGATCTTGGGGGGGGGGAGCAGGCTAACAAGGCACATGTTATGTCATCAGCGGTCGACTGTTTCTCTGCTTCGAGGGAATGGCAGCAATCAAGTATTTTCAGGGAGGGAGGGAAAATAAATGGTCTCGGAGATCGACTAATGCTTTTTATTTGTGTTGCCCTACTTCTGGAAAGAAGAGAGAGGAAGTATTTTTGGTTGTTATAAAATGGCAGGGGGGAGATGGCTGTAAATTGAGTGTTGAGAGAGCTGTCTGAATGAGAGGACAAAATGCTCATTTGAATTCAAATCATCACATCTGTGTGTGTGTGTGTGTGTGTATATACACACAAGTCAATGGTTTGGTCTACCAAATACAAAACACATTTATCCATTAAAACACAGGTCTTCTAAAACAGATACAGTAAGACAGTGCCTGAGGGCTATTGTGTTCCAGCTACAGCTATTCTGTAAGTAGCCTGACTACCAAGGTACATTCAAGTCCCAGGGCCAAGAACTGGTAGTTCTGATCAGTGAACTTACAGTATGTTCTGTAATGAAATAGCTAAGGCAACTAGGCCTATATTTATCATCTTACAAAACGAACAATGGATCAGGTTTTATTATCAAAATGGAGGACAGCAGTCATTCAGAACGCCATGGCTATCCAGGCTCTCACTCTCTCTCTCTCTCCCTCCTACATCCCCTCCTCCTCGCTCTCTCTCACTCTCTCTCAAGGTTAAGATGTTCCTGGGGCCACTTGATGCTCAGTGTGCATCAGACCAACCTTCCGCCTCCCTAGTCTACTCAAGCTTATTTTCAGGCTGTATTCACTGCAGTTAACCGCTATACTCTCGCCCTAGTTCACTATTCAGCTAAGCACAATGACCATACAAGCATAAAGAATAAACTATTATTAGCCCTAAAGAACACAGTCTACCTGGTCATGGAATACTCATCATAAGTCCCCATTGCATTCGATCTATAACAAACAGCAGGGTTGATCAAAATCACACCAACTAAACAAGTCACAACTCAGAATGGGTCCATTTGCATCTCTCTGACTTTCAACACTTTTTATACTAATGCTTCTAATGTGATGAGACATTTTATAAAGCATGCACTCTGTTGGTGCCTGCAACCGCAACCTTTTGTCCAAGCAGTAGAGAATCTATAGCCTTAGCTTTTTTTCAACGGAGAGGCTGCATTTTGCATTCTTATGGATGTTGCATGGTGTGTTATAAAAATGCATCAACACAGACCAACAGCAACACACATTTCAGGGGTTATATTTTTTTGTGCAGAGGGGAGGCCCCCCTTGACCCCCTAGCATCCCCCCACACCCCTCCCCTCTCTTACCTCTGCGTGGATGTTAGGGACAGAGCCGCTGGAGCCGTTCTCTGCGATGGCGCTGTTGGAGCTGTTGGGCGAGCTGGGCCCGGAGCCAGGGGCACTGCTGCACATGGAGGACACTGCAATGACAATGGAACAGGCCACTCAGAGTCAGAACCAACCCAGCATCCCAGGCAGGCAGACACCACCGCCAAAACCCCTATGTGGTACGGCCAGGCCTTTCTCCAAGCTTGCATCAAACTGTACTGTACAAATGTGTGAAGAGAAATGTTTAGGTTTTATCAGGCTGTTTTCTATGAGTATACAGAAAGGTAGAAACAGAATAGACTATCATTGGTGACATATACATGGAATCAGAGAACTTGGAAAAAAGACTCTTTCAAGAGGCCAACATTCCAAGTCCCAATTCGAATGTTCCCAAAAACCCTGTTCTCCTTTTCCCTGCTCCACTGCCAGCTAACCCCCCAAACCCCACCCCATACCCTTTTGTCCTATTCAAGCTTTACGGATGAATCCGTGTCCTACACTTTAGTCCCTGCTATTTTTGTTTGCCTCCAATAAGTCCCTATATTTAGTCCCAAAAAAGCTTCTGCTTTCATTAGCAGATAAAATGGGTGAGTCGAATCAAAAGCCTCTATAAGCATAGCTTCTGTTATTGTGGTCTCGAGAACAACCAGCATTTATACGATCCCGATGTTTACGTACTATCTGCACATGACATGGAAACGGGCTAAAAGGGCTAACCCTTAACCCTAGCATATGGTAGCTAGCTCCAGTTCTAGGTCTGAAAAGGCATTGTGTGGCATGTGTACATAGCCAACCTGGCTAAGTGGGTTATGTAACTAGGTCCTTCTGGGAAATTAGCTTGAGGTGTAGAGTGCCGCAGCCCCTCCGGATGTCTACTTTTACCATCAGGCCAACAGAGCTGAAATGACTGTTTTATGTTAAGTTGGGTGTGATTTTAGATGGGTTATGGTTCACCCAACTGGATGCTTCTCACTGGGGTTGGTTTACAACTATGAAATGGCACGGGGTGTGGAATTCCAGCTGAAGAGTGTACAATGTATTTGTATGCATTTGTGCGCGAGCTCTCACCAGAGATCTCGATGGCTCTCTTTTTGAAGGTGCTTATCACTGTCCCATCCTTCCTCCTCAGCAGAGGACTGCTCCGCCTCTCAGCCACCTTCTGTTTTAACCGCGAACGCACCTTCAGATTGGGCTCCGAGGCTGTCGGAGAGAGAGAGAGTGAGAGGAGAGAGAGAGTGAGAGGAGAGAGAGAAAGAGATAGGAGAGAGTGAGAGCAAAAGAGAGGGGAGTTTAAATTAAAAAGATATACAACAGAAACCATAAACGAGCAACAGCTCATGCAGAGTCTATCCAAAAGTACTGTGGACAGCTCCAAATGGGGCTATTTATATCTTATTGACTGGGGACACTAACACTGAAATAAATGTCCATTTGCAACTAACCCCTCCTTCACACAACTGCTTTTTCAGTCCATTGTTGATGCAATGAACGACAGACCAAATGAGACTAATGGAAGTAAATAAAACAGGGGGATTGGACCCCAGGAAGAATACCTGCTGCTTTGGCAAAGGCTAATGGGGATCCGAATTAACCAATAAGGAGGGAGGGGCAAAAATAGGAATTGGGGCAATTAATCAAAAGCCCCGGGTTTAATTTAATTAGCCTCCAATAGAGCTGCTTTCCACTGGACGCCTTGACGTCACACACACACACACACACACACACACACACTCACCCCACCTATGTAGAGCAGACAGGACTTTCAGCCCTTATAGCATCATTGGCTTTAGTATGGCTTTCATTTGATTAGAAATCAAAGTGTTTGGGGTGAGGAAGATCAGAGAGACATGAGGTGAAGTAAGGAGCATACGCACACACACAGCAGGCTCTTGCCACAGAGTTATACCTTTCAGTCATAATGCCCAGTAAGCACAACAACACGCAATACAATTACAGCTAGATCCATGGGGATCCTTAAGAATATATATACAGCAAGCATATATTTAAGCATAGGTGTCATGGGTCAGCTTCTCAGACCCAGATTAAGCTTACTACTGGACTAAAACACATGTTCATTGGAAAGTCTCCGATCTCCATTTAGTGTACCACCCCACTCCATCGGCTTGTCTGTGGGTGGGCCTAATTATCTACGTGAGTGTGTATGTAGCTCTTGCCCACCAGTCTTCACCAACACTGCTGCTGTGATGACTCATTCTGACTCATACCAGAAAAGGAGAAACACTAAATGTACAGACATACAGTTAAAGTCGGAAGTTTACATACACCTTAGCCAAATACATTTCAACTCAGTTTTTCACAATTCCTGACATTTAAACCTTGTAAAAATTCCCTGTCTTAGCTCAGTTAGGATCACCGCTTTATTTTAAGAACGTAAAATGTCAGAATAATAGTAGCTTTTATTTCTTTCATCACATTCCCAGTGGGTCAGAAGTTTACATACACTCAATTAGTATTTGGTAGCATTGCCTTTAAATTGTTTAACTTGGGTCAAACATTTTGGGTAGCCTTCCACAAGCTTCTCACAATAAGTTGGGTGAATTTTGGCCCATTCCTCCTGACAGAGCTGGTGTAACTGAGTCAGGTTTGTAGGCCTCCTTGCTCGCACATGCTTTTTCAGTTCTGCCCACACATTTTCTATAGGATTGAGGTCAGGGCTTTGTGATGGCCACTCCAATACCTTGACTTTGTTGTCCTTAAGCCATTTTGCCACAACTTTGGAAGTATGCTTGGAGTCATTGTCCATTTGGAAGGCCTATTTTCGACCAAGCTTTAACTTCCTGACTGATGTCTTGAGATGTTGCTTCAACATATCCACATAATTTTCCTTCCTCATCATGCCATCTATTTTGTGAAGTGCACCAGTCCCTCCTGCAGCAAAGCACCCCCACAGCATGATGCTGCCACCCCCTGCTTCACGGTTGGGATGGTGTTCTTCGGCTTGCAAGCAACCCCCTTTTTCCTCCAAACATAACGATGGTCATTATGGCCAAACAGTTCTATTTTTGTTTCATCAGACCAGAGGATATTTCTCCAAAAAGTACGATCTTTGTCTCCATGTGCAGTTGCAAACCGTACTCTGGCTTTTTTATGGCGGTTTTGGAGAAGTGGCTTCTTCCTTGCTGAGCGGCCTTTCAGGTTATGTCGATATAGAACTCGTTTTACTGTGGATATAGATACTTTTGTACCTGTTTCCTCCAGCACCTTCACAAGGTCATTTGCTGTTGTTCTGGGATTGATTTGCACTTTTCGCACCAAAGTACGTTAATCTCTAGGAGACAGAACGCATCTCCTTCCTGAGCGGTATGACGGCTGCGTGGTCCCATGGTGTTTATACTTGCGTACTATTGTTTGTACAGATGAACGTGGTACCTTCAGTCATTTGGAAACTGCTCCCAAGGATGAACCAGACTAGTGGAGGTCTACACATTTTTTTCTGAGGTCTTGGCTGATTTATTTTGATTTACCCATGATGTCAAGCAAAGAGGCACTGAGTTTGAAGGTAGGCCTTGAAATACATCCACAGGTACACCTCCAATTGACTCAAATGATGTCAATTAGCCTATCAGAAGCTTCTAAAGCCATGACATAATTTCCTGGAATTTTCCAAGCTGTTTAAAGGCACAGTCAACTTAGTGTATGTAAACTTCTGACCCACTGGAATTGTGATAGAGTGAATTATAAGTGAAATAATCTGTCTGTAAACAATTGTTGGAAAAATTACTTGTGTCATGCACAAAGTAGATGTCCTAACCGACTTGCCAAAACTATAGTTTGTTAACAAGAGATTTGTGGAGTGGTTGAAAAACGAGTTTTAATGATTCCAACCTAAGTGTATGTAAACCTCCGACTTCAACTGTACCTACACACACCTACTGTCAGACATACATGGGTAGGTACCTCAAAGTAATGCATACATGCAAACACACACACACACACACACACACACACACACACACACACACACACACACACACACACACACACACACACACACACACACACACACACAGTGCATCCACTCACCAGTCTTGCGGAGAGGGAAATCGTCCCTGCCCTCGTAGGTCCCCAGTAGCGGGGGCAGTTTGTAGGAGGGCGGCGTTCCCGGAGTGTTACTCTGAGGGGGGGAGCTCTGGTCCAGAGAGGTGTGGTGGGCGCCCCTGATGAAGCCATAACAACAGTTAAGATACCAGAATTAGTTGATACTACTTGTGATGTATACAATACATTCTCTGACTATATTAAAACCTCTTTATCCGTTTGGCATGACACCCCCTGAGGAAGGTAAACAAGTCATACCACTCTGGATTTCCAAGTATTTTTAACAGTTCGCTCCGGGTCAATGGATCAGTTTAGGAGCTCTAAGAATCCTAGCTAAGGTATAGCCCTTCCTCCAGATTCATTAACCATTAACATCCATGGCTCTTGGCCAGTCTGCTAGTGTCAGCAGCTAACGTTAGCCAGCCTCATAGAACTAAAATTAGATGTTGATGGTTAGGCTCACCAGCATTTCTGGGGGAAGGAATGGTTCAGTCCGCCAGGTGTGCCAGGCTCTTTTTTGCTCAGGAGGAACTCCTGGAGCTTCAGCTTCACCTCCGTACTGGCAATGGCACCTTCCGGAACAAACCATCATAACACAAAGTTATTATACCTCTAACAAAGACCAACAGATATGGAATACCAGGATCTAAACTGTATCACTCTATTGAGTAAAAGTGTCTGATAGGACATAGCTACCGTATATTTCAGTGTTTACTTGCTGAAAGCTTCTCTTCATACATACACCAGATATATACTGCTCAGTGTGTGAGTGTGTGTCCTCTATGTGTACTACTCACTCTCTTTGCCCTTCTCCTTATTGCGTAGCATGAGGAGCTGCTGCTCCAGCCTCTGTTTCTCCAGCTCCTCATGCCTCTGTTGCTCCAGCTTCCTCTTCTGCTCCAGCTCCTGCTGCCGCTTGGCCGCCAGGATCTCCTGCTGCTGCTGCAGGGACGCCAGGGGGAACGAAAGCCAGAGAGAGGGGAAGTCAAATGAAGCTCAAACTGACTTCCTGAAACTAACTGATAGGTCCAGTAGCCAGTGTGGCTAAAGCCATTTCTAACCCCACCTCTTGCCCCCCCACCTTCCTAAAAATTATCCCGTTACCTTCAGGTGCTCCTGCAGCTGAACCTCATGCTGGCGTGTCAGCACCTCATGCTGCTTCTGGAACTCAGCGAAGAGAAGCTGTTTCTGAAGCTCCTGCTGCTGCTTGAGGAGAAGCAGTTCATGCTGCAGTTGCTGCTCCCTCATGCCTGGGTCCACCCCTCCGCCCAGGGGTCCCAGCCTGGGATCCGTCCTCAGGTCCACGGGACCGCCGCCACCTCCACCTCCAACACCCTGCTCACTGCCGCCCACTGGGCTCTGCATCCCCGAGGGGAGAGTTGTCTTCACCTCCACAGCTAGATGGAGGAAGAGGTGGGGAGCGGAGAGAGGGGGAAGGAGACAGATAGATGGAAATGAAGACAGAGTAAAGGAGGGCAAAAAGAGAGAGAAAAAGTGAGGGAGACAGAAGGGAAAGGAGTGGAGCAGACAAAGAGAACAAGAAAATAGTTTGTTAAATGGTGACCAAATAAAGACGAAGTACAACGGTTTAATACAGGCGTTTTTTCAATAAGAAACAAAACAAAAAATCTTGATCAAATACTGCGGAAATGGTGAGGTTAAAGTTCAAGGGCTGAGAAGTAATTCCCTTTGATAGAAATGACAATTAGCTTACAGTTTGACTAACATAATACATATGTCTTTTAGCCATGAGGCTTGGCACAGATCTACTGTATCTCATTGAGTGTAGTCAACAAGCGCACACCGAGTAGGTTATAGAGACATTCATCGCATTGACAAATAATATGTCCCATCTAATAGAGTGACCCTGGCAACCGACCCGGTCCATCTTTCAGTGTATTACAGCTTTCAGAAATCAGACCAGGAGTTCAATCATGTTTGGCATGCTAGCTCTCTCTGGGGACGTTGCATAACTGCACCATGATGACAGAGTTCAGTGGAGTTGGACACACTACAGCTGTACAGTCCACACATGAGGAGGAATACAGTTTGGGTCCTGATCTTCTCTCTGCTGGCAGGAAGGGTGCATGTTGTATTTAGAACACTTGGGAGAGTGTTTCAGTGTACTATTTTAAAAGTATGATTCCACAGAAGTGTGTGAGTGCTTATGTGTTTACTGAATAATTAATCACAGTATGTATGTTTATACAGTACATGCTTCAATGATTGAAGGAGCATCTTGGAGTGTTTCCGTGCGACTGTTAAAGTGTTAAGCTGATGAAGAGTAACACCATTCATGGTTTACTAGTTATTCATTTTGTATGGCGCATGTTATCGCCATGGATTACAAGGCATCCATCCGTCTGTATCACGGTAGGTCACTCTATGCTAGCGTGTCAGTGTATGCATTTTGCTCAATAGGAGACAGTATTGAACGGTAGGAATGGGAGCGGACCTTGGTAAAAATAGCCAGGGCGACTATCGATACAAAGAGGGCAGACCATTACATAACCTGGGAGGACCACAGTAACCAGGGCCGGGATGAGGGCAGAGCCAGGGCACTCTAAGACACTCCGGGAGCTTTGTCTCTGATACAATAAGCACAGAGCTGGCAATGACACACAGCATCCCAAAGCCACTGGCAAGCACTGCTGCCAAACAGACAAGCAAGCACAGCCACCTGGCAAGGGCCACGCTACTGTTTTCGACCTTTCCTTAAGTCGGCAGGGAAATCAAGGATTGGAAGGGGGCTATTGGGCTATTGTGTGGAAAACTGTTCAATGCTGCCCCAAGTTGGTTTCCAATGCACCTGACAGTTGTTTCCATCATCTATTTGTTTCACCTTTCATTAACCCTCGTTTCAAATGGTCACAAGGCTTGACATTGGTGCGGGGTCAGAACTGAGTAGGACAAGACGCTGTAAGGTTTAAAATCTCAAACAAATGCAGAAAAAAACAATGGAAGAGATTAGTGGGCAGGCAGAGAAGCGCTTAGTCTGCAACAATGGTCAAGGGTAAAGAGGTTGACTGCTGCCTTGCATTGGTGGATGTAGAGTATTTGATCCCAGCTGCAGGCTAGGACCTAATGAGAAGGCACCGATTCCGTGTCACAGATGGTTAAGTCACTCAGTGACCAGATAATGAGAGAGAAGAGATAGGCTAACTCCTGTGGAAAAATAATGGGAGACTGAGGGAGCAGCTAGCACTAGCTGAAAAGCACAAGCACTGCTTTGTGAGTTTGATTCTGAATGCAATGGTATCTATGAGTGGACCTCTAAACCTGGAGAACTATACCAGTTGTTTTTCATCAATGTTGCATGTCGTTAAAGATATGTAAAAAAAAAAAAAAAAAAAAAAAAAAGTAATCTAGGGTCAGATAAGGCTGGGAATTGCCAGAGACCTCACGATACGATATTATCACGACACTTACGTGCCGATATGTATTGTGATTATCACGATTCTATATATATTGCGATTCGATACTGTGATTTTATTGTGATTTGATGTTCCAAACATATCGCTCACTCATGGTTTAAATGAATCTTAGATTAGACCTAATCTAGAGTTTGTAAATCTAGGTTTATAATTAAATCAGAGATGTTTTGCACCACTTAATTTTAAAGACAGGATTAATAAATCACTAAACTAAGGGTGTGTTCGTAAATTCAATCTGGAGTGCCAGAGTGCGTTCGTAAATTCAGAGCGTTGTCAGATTGTCCGTTCATAAATTCAGAGCGTTTCACTCTCGGAGCATTCAGAGCGCACACTGGACGCTCTGGCCGAGGAGTAGGGTTGATCCGAGCGTTGTGACCACAACGGCAGTCAAGCACCCAAGCTAACTGGCTAACGTTGGCCAGCTTGCTAGCTACTTCCAGACACAAATGAGAGAACACCTCACTCTGACCATTTTACTCGCGCTAGCAGAGCTGTTTAGGCTGTTTTCATGTTATCCAGAGCGTTGGTGACTGTAACTGTGCTGCTGGCAACAATTTAATTACGCTTTATTGCCGACATTTACTGACACTGGCCATATTCAACGGGTGTTGAGAGTTCGAAAATTAAAATCAGTTATTCTGCGCTCTGGCACACTCAGACGAGAGTGCTCTGAAATCAGAGTAGATAGCCAGAGTGAATTTACGAAGGCACCCTATGACTAGTGACACATGCCATAATGGATTTACCATAGCAATATGTTCAAATTCAATTTCTACGGAAACAAACCAGCACTGGTCATTACTAGTTTGTTAGCTAGCTAGCAAAGTGAATTTTCACTTCGGGCTAATGAAGAAAAACATTTTTTACATTTAGTCATTTAGCTGCTGCTCTTATCCAGAGCGACTTACAGGAGCAATTTGGGTTAAGTGCCTTGCTCAAGGGCACATCGACAGACTTTTAATCTAGTCGGCTCTGGTTACTGGCCCAACGCTCATAACCGCTAAGCTACCTGCCACCGTCCAAAAGTTAGCTGGCTAGTTGAGTTATACAAACATGATAAAAAAATGTATCACACTGAAAATAAAGCACATACACTGACATTTGATTAACTTAAACCTCCTCCAGTGGTAGTTTCGATTAAATCCCTAAACAAAGTTTAACATTTATTTTAAAACAATGGTGCAACAATATTACAGTCCAAATTAAACTTAGTTTAGAAGAAGGATTACATTTTTAACTATGATTAGTTAAAAAACTTGGTGCAACAAGATTAAATGATAAACCTTGATTTAACCCAGTTTAAGAGTTAATCCATGTTGGTGCAGCCCACCCTATACATCTGCTGCAGAGAGAAGGGATGAGAAAATGAGTTTTGATCAGTCAGTGCTGAAAAGATGTTGGATCACTATTTAAAAAGATGGAAAACAAGCTATAGAATGAAAAATACCTGAGTTTTGGCGCAGGTACAAATATCTATATAATATATTGTAAAAAAAACAATATTGCGATATGTAACTATCGATTCCCCCCCCCCCCATCACTAGGGTCAGAATCTGTTTACAACATCATCTCAGGTGAATATGTTTTTTGGCCTTTGCCGAGGGCAGCTGCAACAGCATGCTTTGAAACTCAGCTAAATTCAGCCAATTTGTCTGTGTCAATGTAAGTAAGCCTGTCCTGGAACTGAACCTTCCCCATTGTCCTTCATTTCTCCTCTTCTCCCTTTCTTCCTCTCCATCACCACCTCATCCCCCATTCCTCTCCCTCTCCGCCTGTACCCCCCTCTCAGGTGAGTGCTGAGTAGGGTACCTATGCCAGACTGGATGATAAATGAGTAGGTATAACTGTGCTTTTGAGGGAAGCCTTTGTCAAAATGCAAAAACGAATGGTTTCGGGTACAAAACAAAAACTTAAATCTGTGTTTTTTTTGTTCTGCAAGCAATTAAGTTCAGAGTCCTTAGTCAGCAACTACCCATAAATATTGTAAAAATGCTTTTGCAGGGAAAATAAAATGGATATCGATAACGGTAAAGTGGAGTAACAGTTGTAAATGACAATAGTTGCTTGCCTGTAGTACTTTAGGCCACATACAGCCTTAGGGTTTGGAGGACTTTGGGATTAGGCATCCTTTGAGGTAGACCAGAGAATAGCATACTTGTAAGTACATTACATACACTGAGTGTACAAAACATTAAGGACACCTGCTCTTTCCATGACATAGACTGACCAGGTGAATCTAGTTGAAAGCTATGATCCCTTAATGATAGCACCTGTTAAATCCACTTCAAAATCAGTGTAGATGAAGGGGAGGAGACAGGTTAAAGAAGGATTTTTAACCCTCGAGACAATTGAGACATGGATTGTGTATGTGTGCCATTCAGAGGGTGAATGGGCAAGACATAAAATGTAAGTACCTTTGAACAAGGTATGGTTGTAGGTGCCAGGCGCACCAGTTTGTGTCAAGAACTGCAATGCTGCTGGGTTTTTCACACTCAACAGTTTCCTGTGTGTATCAACAATGGTCCACCATCCAAAGAACATCCAGCCAACTTGACTGTGGGAAGCATTGAAGTCAACATCGGCCAGCATCCCTGTGGAACGCTTTCGACATCTTGTAAAGTCGGGGTGATGCAACTCAATATTAGGAAGGTGTTCCTAATGTTTGGCATACTCAGTGTACATTCACATTGTATGTCACAACATTAGGTAGGATTGCACCTTTGAACTTGCTGATTGGCGCGTGCAGAGTTAACCAACAGGGTAATGATCCAATAGCTCTGTTGGGAGGTCTGGCGGAAGCTTTCGGCTTAGTCCAAATAAGATTACTATCCTTTATCAGTTGGCTTCTAAATTTAACCTTCCAGCCAATTATGTGTGTCTGCCATTTGACGTCATTGCGTCCCTATCTTAGGTCGCCAGGAAAACTCTGGTTGTTGGGTGCCAGCCAACCAAATGAGCTTAACATAGATCACCCAAGACACCTCAGTCAGAGAGAATATGGGGGAGGAGGCATTGAATGAATGAGCCAAAGGGAGATTGCCTATTGAGATGTACCAGGTATTCCAAATGATCAATAGTCATGAGGCCTTCCATTCGAGAAACAATTTACAAATCTGAAATCTGTATGTCAATAATGACTTGTAAAAGCCATCAATGGTGCTCAATTACACCAACATTGATGTGACATGATTGGTTGTTGTCAGAGTGGTGCAATGTGCACAGAGGTCTAGGGCTCCTTTGCAGTATTCAAATCCTCATAATGAATTTGGAGGCACACAAAATACTTTAATGACACTGTCTGGCTGTGCAGTGTGCATTCAAAGGAATAATTTGGTGTTGCCTGCTCCACTCTGTTACGAGACAGTGAGTAGAGGGAGTCTGAGGAAAAATAATTTGGGCCGATCATCAAAAAGTATCAAACGGGGGAACAGCCGCCAGGAGAACTCACAGGGGAGTTGCATCTGAGGCGGAAGGAACTACCATCAGTCCCATAGCAAATCAGCTATGTGCCAAAACAGATGTGTTTTTAATGCTGCAGCAGGAAAATACAGCAACACTTTCGAAAAGGCGCTGCATGGTTAATTATAAATGAATAATACATTTATTCCTAGCCCAATTGATTATCGAGGTGATAACATGCTTGAGGCGTTAATTTCTCATCCAAGAACTCCACCACCTTGTCCTAGACAGACGGTTGCTAAACTTCTGGGTTCAACTTTGGTTCAGAACAAATCAGACAAAACTAAAAAGCAAAAATGCGAGGGCAGTAAAATATAAGAGGATCCATCAGATGTTTGGTCAGAAATGGGACCTTAAAAATGTCAACACAGTCAAACATGGCCTTTCTTTCTAAATGAGGCAAAAAGTTGCTTGTAAAGTCCTTGGCCCTGTTTTTGTGTTGACAGGAAAAGATAGAGTGGGAGGGAGGAGGGGAGGGCAGAGAGGAGAGGAGAAAAAGCCCAGTCATCTGGGTGAAGCTGTTTGTGGCCCTGTGATTAGTGAGGACTTGGGCCAGCCAGGAGGTGGCTGAGAGGCTGAGTGACATGGAGACAAGGCCAAAGGTATTTCCAGGTCCCCAAGGACTATATTTGTGGCCATATCCAATTAAACCACAGTGACAATACACACTGAAATGGATGCAATTTGACTGTGTCTGCAGACATCATCACCACTTTAAGGACATGATCTGTGATTAAGCAATCCATCTATAAATAATACAACAAAAACACAGCTAGGGGCAACTAATTGCCTTCGCATATCCTCTTATCCTGCAACAGTATCCACCAGGAATTGTTTAAGTTCTGCTTGTGCTCATCTTATTCTAAATTAAACATCACAATTTTCCTCTAAGAATTCTATGATATAACCAGAGACGTGTTGTAATTTCTAATTTAGTTACAACAAAGCTCTATACAACAAAGCTCTATCTTATGCCATACGATGAGAGTCCTTAAACAATATTGAAAGAAAGCAAGGAGGATGCTCTTGGAGGAGAAACAGCTACCTCCGAATTTAAAGTGTACAAAAAAACATATTACAGTGTTCACAACCTGACAAGATGAAAATAGAGGTGAGGGGTGGGGGGGGTACCTCCTCGTTAAAAATAAACGAAGGTATTGCATAACACTTGTGTGGGGTTTCTAGCCAGAAACAGAGGAAGGGGTGGGAGGGAGGGAGGGGATTTCTGGATAAGGAAGCCAACTAGGCCTAATCAATGAAAGGGTAGATACCGTGAGGGAGGGCCAGGAAACAGAGCACTCAAATTTACCCAGCAGATTATATTTTACTCCATGGATTACTGTAATTACCTGGAAAAGAGAGTCTAAAAATATCCCTCCCCCCTGCCACTCTCGCCCCATGATGATGGCTGTTTGCATAAAGGGTGTGTGTGTGTGTGTGTGTGTGTGTGTGAACATGTCAGAGGGAGATGGAGAAAGGGTGTATGAAGGATTTAGGGCTAGCTCAACAATGTGTTAAACTGGGCTACAGCCCTGAATCTAGTCTGTGATAAAATCAAAACATACTGTATTCACTCAGTGTCCCTGACTTTGCCAACACGAGTAGGCCTGATATTGAAACCATGCTCACCACTCTTACGACTGATGAGAGGCCGTACAGTGCAGTGCAATTGACTGAATTAAAGGGTCTATTTAAATTCTGTATTTTGTGTGAGAGGAAAACCAGTAGATGGCTGTGCTGGTTTGCCACAGCCTTTATGTATGACAAACAAAGTTTTCCCAATTAAGACAGAAAGATCCATTTCCCAAGGGAGTCTTCTGGCTTACGCACTCCATCGCAAGCTTTGTGTCGCCTAATTATGCCAACCACTCCCTCTCTCTTCCAGAGCTAGGCGTCATTTTAAACCTCCACTCAAAGCTGTTAGTTATACGAGACGCTGTCAAACAAAGGCATGGATTGTGCCTCCTCAGACCCTTTTTCCTCCATTAACATGGAGGATGTGAGTCTTCTGGAGAGAGTGCCAGAGGAAATCTTTCTTTCTAATCAAATGATCACACTAATTAGGCCTTAGCCAGACAAGGATGGAGGAGAGGAGAGCTACAAGCCAGGAGGGCATAGCAGGAGTACAATAAGGGTGGAACGAGTTTGACATCCAGGGTGCCCCCGTCCCCTGTTCAGTTTGGCAGACTGGCCGTTGATTGGATGGATCATGAAACCCTAGCATACTACACTAAAGAGACGGGCGAAAGACGAAAGCGTCAACGAGATAATAATTTTGTTGCAGTCATGAATTATGCAAGCCATTAAATTCAGCCAATAATTGTCAAGCATGCTGCTGCACCAGTGGGGACCCCTGCTGTGTTTGACATTGGCAATAAACATGTCAGTAAGTAAGAAGTGTCTTTTGGTCTTCTTGTAAAAGGCTTCAAACTAGTTTCAAGTTGCGGCTTGTCATGCAATAAGTATGTAAATTGTCATTGATACTGTACATTTTCCTTCTCTGAGGAACCATCAAAATGGCTGCACCATAGTATAGCCTACATCTGCCTCTGGGCTTCTCTCTATAGCTAGAGCCAATGGCACTTTCCCTACACCTGCAATCCGCTCCTTCTCCTCGCCCCCGACCCTCATCTCTCTCTCTTCCCTTTCTCTCTCTCTCTCTCGCTCCCAGCAGAGATTAGACACAAGCAGCGACAGAACACAAAGTCTGCCTGCGAAAAATGTAGGTTATAAATAACCCCGGATTAATAATGCACTGGGGGGGGGTGAGAAGGGGGAGGGAGGGGATAGCGCACTGTGCTTTTAAAAGCGCACGCTTCTATTTTTGGTTTTTCCACATTTTCGGTTGCTGCTCGCTCTGTAGCTTCCAGCTCATCCCTGCTATCTTCGTCTTGGATGCGGATGCTGCAGATGCAGCTACAAAGGGAATATGGTGTTCCCTTGCAGAATACAGGCTTTGATCTAGCTATATCTGTATACAGTGGGGAGAACAAGTATTTGATACACTGCTGATTTTGCAGGTTTTCCTACTTATAACGCATGTAGAGGTCTGTAATTTTTATCATAGGTACACTTCAACTGTGAGACACGGAATCTAAAACAAAAATCCAGAAAATCACATTGTATGATTTTTAAGTAATTAATTTGCATTTTATTGCATGACATAAGTATTTGATACATCAGAAAAGCAGAACATTAATATTTGGTACAGAAACCTTTGTTTGCAATTACAGAGATCATACGTTTCCTGTAGGTCTTGACCAGGTTTGCACACACTGCAGCAGGGATTTTGGCCCA